ACCCGTTCTGACGACGCCACAGATTTCTCACAGCATCGCACAGAACGAATTTTTACGCGAATTCCTGATCGGCGACGCGAGAAAACACGATCACGGTCGAAAAGCATTTCCAGGAAAATCGCTTTCGTGCATATGAATGAACACGATGTCGTGTTTATTTCTATGCATTCGTGCAGGGCTGTCCAATTGGCGGCCGGATCTGACCCGTCGATTCATTTTTTCCCAACGAATTCCTCTTTAACGGTTGCTTTCGGAAATTTTCTGCAAATTTCACTGGTTCGCATTAAAAAATGTGGTGTGAGATTCGTCAGTGAGGCCCTCAACACGCACATGAACCAAATCATTTGATACCCGCTAAATTGAGTTGGACACTCCTGCATTAGTGTCATCTTCCTTTCAAAACTTTTAGATTTGCAGTACCGATTGTCGAAAGGCGTGAAACCAGTAGGCCTTAAAAGGCCCTAGAAGGCCTTAGAAGGCCTTGAAAGGCCTGGTTATCCCTCAACGAGACGTTAGGCAGAAGTGGAAGTTGACCATCCCCCCACGTCGATTAATATATTTGCTTATAGAGTTTATTTTCACGAGATGCAAAGGGAACCATTCGCCCTCGGTGACGTGGGAAGCTGGTGGCGTTCTCTTTCTTGGTTTCCGAGAACTAAAGTCGTACGAGTCCACCGATAGAGCTCGCCTTGTCGCCCCTTTCCAGCCTCGGCGTTTTGTCGTTTCGGTCGTCAAGGAAAATTTTCAGCCCCGATACGTCGCGTCGTAGTTGGAGTGTTGCGACCACCAATCCGTGCGAATGCTTCCGACAGATAATCGATTCTGCATTCGACGCGCTCATTGCAGAACGGCGAATTCGGGATATGCACTTTCACGCTGACGGAAACGCAAACGTGGATTAGCCGGACGAAACGGATGAGATGCCGGAAGGGGTTTTCCCAGGCCGAGTTTCCATTCCTATCGGCTCGAGCATGACAGAGACGTCAAATTTGTCGCATTAGAATCGTGTTCTAAGCTGCACATTAAAAGATTAAGACTTCGCGTTTTGAAATCAACTTTCAGAGCACGTCAAATCCGACAAGGTCGCATTGCAGAGCCTCGCTTTCCCTTCCAAAATCGCGAGGCGATTTGCACTGGATTCCCTGTCGAAGAAACAAACGCGAAGTCGATCGCAGAAATTCGGCCGCTTTCAGAGAGTGGCTTAGCCTAGGGTTTCATGAAATGTCACGTCCGACGCCTTTCTTCGCGCACGCATCGAGCAAATGAGAGTTTGCAAGACCCAGGCTAATGGGATTTCCTGTCACTGCCTCGAGATAAATGTTTCAGCCTTCATTATCATGTTGATTCATCAGTCATATCGTTAAATACACTTAACGCACAAAATAAATTATCGAAGACGACACTTCGGACAGGCCTAAAGCACGAAATCCGAACGACGCGCGAGGGAACGAAATCCATCACAGGCGGCGGAGGTGTGGAAAGGCCTTTGAGGCCTTTCAGGCCTTTCAGCTCGCTTTCGCGTGTTTCGTCCCACTCGCGATGGCCTCTGCAGTCTCGCCTTCCCCGCGCATTCCTGCACGGGGAGGGCGGGATCAGTGATGTCAGACAGAGCAGTGATGTCAGGCTAATCAAATGTGTCAGTTCAAGGATCTTGGCACAGTTTTCGTTTCGTCCAGGTTCTTCTGACTTTCCTCCATCTTCTCGTACGGTTTTCTCACAAATTTCGTCACCAAATCTGAATTTCAATATTAATTTAAAGAATAATTTCAATTTGAACTCGTTTTGCTGTTCCTCCAGTTCCTCCATTCAATTTCTTTCCACGTCGGCTAAGCATCCTCATATCAAGGAGGTGCTCCCCACCTACGAATAGGGAGCACCTCCTCCCCACCTGTAACACACCTCGGTGGCAACAAAATGCGTGGCTCCGACTTCTTGGAACGCCACGCTTTCTTCGTACTCACTTGAGATCTATGTTTAGCGGGGACTACACGACGGTCTCAGATTAAGTTCGGCTTTCCGGGAAAGATTCACGAATATGGAATTTGTCGAGGAAACAAACCGGAGTCGGTTGGTCTTGAACCGTGTTGCTTGCCATTCCTCGCCTCCGACATCACTCCATCGGAAATAAATTAGCATCGAAAACCCCGTGGTTTAACTTCCTTAGCATATGCTTCACGCGAAGAACGAAATCTGACGTCGACTTTCAAGGCTTCTCTTCCTCTGCGGACTCGAGACAACCGTTACGAGGAATGGCGCTACTGCTCAGGATTCAAATCCAATGAGAATTCTCAACGGGTAAGCGAGCAAGACTGCTGCAGCCTCTTTCGATTTAATATGAAAAGTTGAGTTATCCTGAAAAAGATTGCTTCACTTGGATTGGAATATTTTCTTCTTTCAGACTTGTGAGCTACTTGTGAGTAGAAATCGGAAATGAAGAAAAACAATCGGAATGAATTAGATTTAGTGTTTGGAGGCGAGTGCGACTGCAGAGCCAGATGGTCGAGCGAGGAGGAGGAGGAGGAGGCTTGGAGTACTTGGCAGAGGAGGGAACCCGCTAGAGTCGGTCCATGACCCGCGGCTCCACCCCTGGACCCGCGGGACCCCGCGCCCCTTGCGCTCTGTGGGACCGCAGGGACCGCGGGAGGAGGACCGCAAAGGCGAGGCTGCGGGGGTTACGAGGGACGGAGGTGGCGAGGCAGTCAGTGTCGGTCGGGGCTCCGTACACGTGCGTCGCTCTCGTCCTGGCTTGCAAGGTGAGCGACTTCCTTCGCCCGTATTGGCATCCGTAATGAGATCGGAGTCGAAATTAACAAGATCTCCTCGTAACCCTTGACAGTGACACGACCGGCCGTCCTAGGCCCCAATCCATGACGTTAAGCCGGTTGTAATCAACTCCCCTTCCTTCCTCGTTTCAAACCTCTTCTAGGTAACGTGGGTCTCTCTCCCATCGGACCTTGCATGGCGGCACTCTCGACACGATCCCCCGTGAATTTCGTGCAGTGAACGCAAGAAACTCGTCGGAACTTCTCGTCCCCGCTTCCCACGACTGCATCGAGTGAGTCCCTCTTCCGCAGCGCGAAATCCATTAGCACCCGTGATCGATCCGACCGATTAGGGCGTCACGGAGCCCCGTAACGCATTCCATCCCGGCAAAGCGAAATGCAAATGCCCGAAGTCGAATGGTAACAGCCTTTGCAGCCCCTTGCGTCCTCCACGCTTGATGGATCGTCCGCCTGAATTCCACTCGGGGCGAAGGCCAGAAATGTTGGCCGTTCGTCGTCGGTTTCGCTTGCTTCCTCGGAAAGACTCTCGAGCGTGCATAAGTTCCTCTCGGATTTGCATAAATTAGAGCCGTAACTCGATCCCGCCGTGCGGGAGGGTGCCGAGTTTTAAAAGCCGAGTGGAGATATCGCCGTAGGCGATTCCTAAAACCTGCCCTCTTTTATAAGCGGGTGGATATTCAGTCGGCGTAGGTGTATTGACCTCTCCCGACGTCGTCCGTCTCCCCGTGAAGTTTCGGCGTGCCTTACATGGAACGCAGGCGGAGGGATTTCGGTCGAGATTGGCTGGTTGAACGTCCGTTTTTTTTCACGTTTTTAATCGAGGATCCCTTTTTAGAGTCGATGTGGGAGCGAAGGTCACGCGAGCCGTTAAGACCCCTTCTGGGTGCGGGCCCCGTCGGGGATAACGAGGACCCCCTTCCCCCGATATCGGGTGGGGGGTTGCGTCACCGCCGTCTCCGGAGACGAGTCGCTAACAAAGTATCGAGCGACCGAAGGACGGGGGGGGTCGGCCGGGGGGGTCGGGGCCTTCCGTCGAGAGTCCCGGAAGAGTCGGATGTTCTTGCTCCCACCGTGCACAAAGGAGGCCTTCACCCTTTTCCTCGCATCAAGGCCGGATGGAATGAAGACTTTATAACCGGACAAGGTCGACGGTTCCCATGACACCTTCCCATTTGTTGCTCCGCTCGGCGTGGGTCGAAGATCCGACAGCATCCCCTCACGCATTCGTCTCTCTCTCGTTTGAGGGGAAAAATTTCTCTCTGGAACGCCGAGGGACCCCTTCTACGGACGCCTTTGTCTCCGCCTAACCCCGCCTAACCCCGAATCCCCTTTCTCACGAGTCATCCGTCGGGTCATTCATTCATTCATTCATTATGAGTATACGTGGACATGCATAGAAGAGCAGGAATGAATAGGCAGGATTTTCTCGGAACCGGTTCTCAACGGTCATCGCCTCTCGTCTCGTCTCATCCCCTCTCGTCCCTCCTCATCCCTCTCTTCTCATCCCTCCTCATCCCTCTCTTCTCATCCCTCCTCATCCCTCTCTTCTCATCCCTCAGTCGAGCCGACTCGTTAATTTCTACACCCTATGCAGCTGGCTGCTCCGGAAACGAAAAATAAATAAATTACTTGCCCTTTAAGTTTTGAAGATTCTTGGACCTTTTTCAATTACGAAAAGGCTCTCGGAAAGGTAAGGTCTCATTAGATTTCAATATCGGTCGGAAAATTGCAGTTTTGGAACGACCCACGAGGCATTTCGATGGGATGACGAAATCCTTTTACCGTAGTAATTACCGTTATCATGGGATGACCGATGACGATCATTATCCTGGTTTCCATTTTCCTTCGGGATTTTTTTTTCCCCCCTGGACTTGGATATCGTTTACGCTCTCCATCAAGGTCGCGAACGTCAGGGCTTTTCTGTTTGCCTTTTTTTCCCCCCCGGCCGACATGGCAGTTGTGACCTTCCATACGCGTGCATGTAGATAAGATGCAAATGCGTTTTTTCGACAGAAAAAAAGGTCGAGTACGTGATCGTTCGTGATTTCTGGCTTCCCCGCTGTTCGTCGCCCTTGATCTGCCGCATTTCAGACGCGATGAATTCCCCTCGCACGTCTCTTTCCCAAGGCCCCCCTCATGACCATCCTAAGGTCCCTTTCATGACCATCCTAAGGCCCCTTTCACGACCATCCGATCCAGGAATCCCATTAGAACACAATGCTCAAGGATCGGACCGACTCGGCCGAGAAGCGGGATCGTTCATTGCGTATGCGTGGCACGGTCAAGGTCCAAGGCATAAAGGACTACGGAAAACGAGGAAAGCGCGACCGACGCATTTCGTTTCGTTTCATTTCGTTTCATTTGCATCAGTCGGACGAGTGAAAGCTGAAAACTGAAAGTTGTTTTCCGAGAAGCTTTCTTCCTGGGCGACCACGCAAAAAAGCAAGCAAGTTCTTATTTTCCCCTCTGGAAATCCGAGTTCAACGCTCCGTATAACATTCACGTGCGCCACCCACGCCCGTCTCCCATTTCTCCTTTATTTTTTTTCTCATTTCCCTTATTTGAAACGAGATCGACCGGTGGGAGGCTGGTAATTAGGCCCAAATCGCGAGAGAACGGTTGCACAAGCGTCGCCGGGACTCCCCGTGTTTTCCTCGGAGCGTTTCTGGGGAAGAGCATCTCGTGCCCCAAGGGGATCCGTGTCCTCTAAAGGAAAAGAAAAGGGAAGTCAAGGGCCCCGGCCTCACAAGAGAGAAAAAAAACCTGTCTCACTTGTCTCATCTCGTCTCATCTACAATGGTTCTCCTTACATCAGCCGCTCTCGTCCTTTTCTTTCTTTTTTTTTTAATTATAACAATTCGCATTTTAAACTTTTCGGCTACCTGAATTTTTTTTAGTCGTTTGCCGTCGTTCGAGATAAGCGGACGAGTCGCAGAGGAATGTAATAAAATACGCAAGTAATTTTTCCGTTTGCTGCGGCGAAGGTCGGGAGCCGACCGGCCGACTAGCCGACCAACCGACGAGCCGACCTTCTTTGTCTCCGGAGCATGTGTCTCTGTCAGCTACAAAAATGAAATAAAAACTTGTTCGTGTCTTCGGTGCCCAAATCAGTTAGGACCCTGGACACGGTCGCTTGTTTACCGGGAAAACCCCACTGCGTACGAGGCGAGGCCTTTGCTTACTTTAATGTGGAGCGCATATTTAAAAATAAAAATAATAAATATGCAAATGAAAAGAAGGGATAAAGGCTAGGCTCCGTCGGGATCGAAGGAGCGACCGGCGATATGGTCGGCAGATAAACAGGTTTCATCGCGACCATCACTTGAGGGGATCTGAGATATTTTTTTCTTGGAAGTGACACCTGGTCGAGAGGGATCATCGTACTGAGAAAGCATTTAAATGCAGTTGGGAAATTTAAAATGCGTTTTCGAGCAATTAAACAGCGGTTTCGTTTCGGAGTCCGAGGATCCGAGCCGCGGTCGTTTTCGATCGTCGAAAGCGTCGGTTCGAGACCGGCCAGAAACCGAACAGAAGACGTGCAGTCATCTTCGGGTCGGTTGTGTTCTTAACCGCTTGGACCGCGAAGGGAAGGGAGAGAGGTTGACCCGAGGGAGGAGCCGGTCTTTCCGAGAGGAATTCCGTCGCATTCCCCCTCGGTCCTTGTCGTCTGCAGGGGCGAAACATGCTGCATTCCCTGCGACAGGCTTTCCATTGCGACAGGCCTTCACTATTGGGCTTGGGAGTCGTATGAGGGTTTTTGAACGGCGTGGCGTTTCTGCTGTCTTAATGGACGAGGGGGGGGGAGGTGTCGGGGCGTGAACTCGGCACGCTTCGCCGGGTCGAAGTCGTAAAATCACGCGTCGGGAACGCCCATCGATCCATTCCGTCGTGGAATTAAATGTCCTTGGTCCTTTTCATTTCTTCAGGGTTCGTGAGTTGGGAAGAAAGAGGAGCGAAGATGAGCGTGATCATGCCAGCAGCCGACCCATCCAGCGGGCGATTCTGGAACCGCCTTCCAGGAGTCTTTCAGGTTTGTTCTGTGTGCTAAAAAAAAAAAAAAATTATCCGGAGAAGGTAATGTCTGCTTTTCGCAAGGATTTAGTCGCTGATCATCCCGGTCGTTCATACGGAGCGGTGTGGGATTTCCTCACAGGCCATGAGACATCAGTCCGAAACGGGATTATTTCGTCCGACTCCTCCCACGCCGCGTTTTCGATAAAACAGCAAAGCAAGGCGTATGCGTGTGGGCATATTGTTGATAGAGAAAAAAAAAAAGAAAGAAAAGGAAAGGGGTCTCCCCCTCTCGAATTCATGGTCACGTCCTACATGAAAGGATTACGACATCTGCGGCCTCTCGGCCTACCAGTGTGCCTGCCACTCTGCCTGCCACTCTGCCTCTCGGGCTGCCAAGTCTGCCTTTTCACACTTTCTGCCCTGCCCCGTGCTCGAAGAAAAGGGCAGAATCTGGGTGAAGGGCCCTCTTCGCGCGGGGATTCGAAATCGAATGCAAATGAGGCAGAAAGGGCATCGAGTTCACGCATCGATTCGGACCGAGATTTCGCGTAATCGTCGGAGTTGCATAAGACGATATTCGCAAATATTGCCCCAGTGCTTTTCCGGCTTTCCCCATCTGTTTGCTCTCGGCGGGGAGAAAACTTGCTTTCGCTTTATCGCGCCGAAATTCCCCGGGGGATTTTCCCGTCGTATTTCTGGGCGGGGGATCGCGGGGGTCACGTGGCCCCGGGGCATGGGCAGGTCCAGGTCCAGGTCCTTTTCACGACGAGGTCGTGACGCAATCCTCATCCACGATCCGAGCCCATCCTCTCGGGATTACACCCGAGATCGCTTCACGATCCCCAAGATCGCCTCACGATCCCCCCAGATATTTGGGTCATGCTCCACTTCGCATTCCATTCCTTTCGATCTCATCTTCTTCCCCCCCCCCCCACACATTTTTTTCCCTTCGTTCTCGCGTTTCGTTTCTCAATTGTAAATGAAGCCTGGGTTACAATGATGTGGGGTCGACGCGATTATGCACAACAGGGCTCAGATGAAGGTCAGGCATGCATATAAGGGAAGTACTAGGAAGTACCAGTTGGAAGGATCGGGGCAAGGGGCCTCACGATTTTATCCTCTGTCCGGACCGACAATCGATCATTCCGCTTCTTTCCCTTCTCGCGTTTCATTTTTTTTTTTAGCCCTTATGATTTTTGATGAGAAACGTGTCACGTCTTCTCTCGTCGTACTTCGGTTGCTAAAGCTCGTACGTCGCATCTAATTTCGTAAGCGGAGGAAGCGGTGCATCAATTCGATGCATTACTTCGATGCATTGCTTCGATGCATTGCTTCGATGCATCGATCCGCGAGTCTCCCTTTGCGCTCGCCCGATCCCATTCAATTCTTCGCGCCGGGGGAATTTTCTCGTGATGAAATTTCGTGTCTTGCATGGGGAATCCTGGACACGGCGAGGCCATTTCACGAGGGAAAAGTGCGAAGGACCGCATTCCTTCTTTATAATTAGACATAAATTTAGCCGGACTCGGTCGTTGCCCATCTCCTGGAGTTTCGTATCGCGCGTTTCCATCGCTATCGAGTTCTGCTCGAGGGACCGGAAGGACGATCCGTGCGTTGCCGTAACCCGCTTATCTGGAACAGGAAGAGCGATGATTGCGGTTATCTCATTTGTGGATGCGTTCCTATGGGATTTTCGTGCGACGCGAGACAGACCGGTTTTTTTCGGGGAAGTCGACGATGAAGGGGTTAAGCCTGCGTCGGCGGGCTTCAACGAGCCCTCGGTTTCGTCACTCCCCCCCCTTCCCCCCCCCCCCCCATTCCTTCTCCCCCCCCCTCATGACATCATTGGCAAGGACTGCGGCGGTTATGACACGGGGGGAAACGGCTACCGGTGCGGTGCAGCGCAAAACGGATGAATCATAGGGGTGAGACCTCGAGGAGGCGTTTCTCTGTCGCTTGCTTTCATTTCGGTTCTTCCCCTGGCCGTTTCTCCACCCTTTTAACGACCTGACCCTCGCGTCCTCCATACGGTAACCAAACCACTAATCGTGGTTATTCCCCCTCTCGTTTGCAGCTCGATTTAGCTCGCAGAACCCGATCCCCAGTCCGCTTTCATTTGAGTAAAAAAAAGGAAGAAAAACCACAGGCGATTTTCATTAGAATATCTTTCTACCCGAGAGAGCCTCCAGGAGCATGTAAACGGTAACACGGTGCGTTGGCAAATATAATTGGGATCTCTGGTACCACACGGGCGCGGATTTTGGTGCTTTGCCAGAAGATGTCAGCCCGAGAGGGAGGTAATTGCACGCTCAACCTCGCGGTCGAGTCTCTGCAACCCAGAAGACGAGATTGCGGAGAGGACCGGCTTGCACCACACTCCCGTCTGCATTCGGAACGAGCCGAGAATCCCCGATCCGTCACGCGAAATCCCGATATAGAAACGATTCGATCGATCCTATGATCTCGGATCGATCTCGTGGGTCGAATCGAGCCACACGTCACCCGCATTTCGTTCCGGATGCGGCACGGGTCGATGCAACGCCGTCTGGATCGCCCTGGGGGCAAATTCAACACCTAAACTGCGGTCGTTTCTCGAGATCCCTTTCAGACCTAAGGGAACCTCTTTCAACGGCAACGGCTCCCGCTTTCGACGACAACGGCTCCCCTTTCACCCGAGGGAAGAAGCTCGACGATGCACCCGAGCCATCGCACGACAGAGCTCGGTTCGTGCTGGATCTTTACGGCGGCATCCATCTGGCCATTATTTTACCTCGCAGAGTTATTTATCGTGTAACGCTTTGCCGTGGTCGTGAGCAGGGACCCGATTAACAGCTGCACCGCATTAATACTCATCGCTTTCTCCGGCTTCAAGACGGCCCCGAGTGGTTGCATTCTGCTTCTCGAGTCTTCGCGACTCGGAACAATGGAATCCCGTCAGGAACGAGGCCGTCGACGACCCACCTACGAGAGGATCGAGGGTATGAACAAGGGTATGAACAAGGGTATGAACAAGGGCACGAACAAGGGCACGAACGATCCTACGGGATGCCATCGTCCACACGGGCATTTTAATTTTTTTTTTTTTTTCCCCCGCTGTATTTGATGGTCTTTTCCGAGCGAAACGCCTTCTGCGTGCGTCTACACCATCATCCATCGTTATTACTTTAACGATAATTATTGGAATCGGAAGATGACGGTGCGCGCAGATTGGCGTTCGAGCGAAGCCGAAGACTCGAAGGCTGCGGACTCAAAGGGTAATATCAAAGTAATAACAGCGTGTTCCGCGTAATTTCAGGTCGCGGTAATCGGCGTCGAGAAATCCGAAAACGGTGTCGACGGATATTATTTATGGTACAGTATATTCATTTATTTACGTATTAAGTATGGACCGATACGGCAGGCGTCCGACGATCCCGACCGATAAGAAACTCGATCAAAAGATATTTCTCATCGATATTCGTCGAGTCTTCTTTCCTCTTTTAACCGCTTTTACTTTCAGATTCACAAGGTCATAAATATTTATTCGAATACGAATTTCCTGGTTCTGGTTCGTCGGGTTCTCCCCCCCCCCCCCCCCCCCCTCCACCCCCCCCCCCCCGCCCCCCANTCCCCCCCCCCCCCCCCCCCCCCCCCCCCCCCCCGCTCACTCCCCCGGAGTCGTCTGTGGTACTGATCGATTGGTCTCCGATGCTCTTCCATAAAATATCTGAAGAAATCACTTTTTCAAATGGCTTTTTGTCGTGCATGCCTGAAGATGGATCATTTGAAGCAGTTTAATTCTTCGGACTGCACCGATTAAAAGTCGGAGTGAACAAATTTCGTCACCGCGGTGACGAAATTGCCGACATCGGAAAGAAATCCCTTTCTGGTCGTTGCCCACACCCTGGATCCTCGCGAATGATGTGGCCCCGCATGAGAATGAGGGAGACAAGGGAAGGGGAATGAGGGAGACAAGGGAAGGGGAATGAGGGAGGCAAGCGGAAGGAAATGAGGGAGGAACGGCAGCGTGAGTCGGCTTTTCCCCTCCTACACCGGGCCGGACCCCCGTGCAGTTTATTATGTATTATAAATATATATAATTTTTTTTTGCGAGGTTAGGGGAAGTGACGTTTTTCGAGGCACGGAGCCCTGATGGGCCTTCCGTCGCAAATTGATTTCCCTCACCGCGATCGTCCGGATTCTTGCTTAATTATCTGGATTATTTATTATTTAACTGGATTCTTTCTTAATTATTTCGGTCCTTAGTTAATGAACCGCAGGATTGCGTCCGTGATTCCTGATTCCAGGGGCGGGAGAACGCCCGACATAGTTCCGGCACCGAGCTATTTTGATTACCCCGTCCACGTTTCGATGCTTCGTATGTCCCTCGTGCATGTATGTCCCTCATGCCTGCATGTCTCTCGTGCATGCGCTCATGCCGGTTCACCTTGAGTCCGCGTCGACGAGGCCTTTTCCGATAAAAATGGGATTCTCGAGATCGTATCGCCGTTCCTCTCGCTTTTTCCTCCTGATGGGACTAATGCACGGCTGCGCAATACGTTCCGCGTGGAATGAAATTTCAGGTCATTTTTTTTTTACGGCGGAAATCCGAGTCCCGAAATGAATTTTGATGAAGGTTGCTTAGAGATGATGGGCGTGCCCTCTCGGTCAGGCTCTGACCCCAAGCCTCGTCTATACCGGTCGTCTCAAGAATTCTTTTTTTCTTTTTTTTTTTTAAGCCGTTGCACAGAGAAAGCCTTTTAGTTTGTGCACTGGGTCCTGAAGATTGTTTTCCGTCGACCCCATGACCCGATTCTCACCGCGACCGACGCGATCATCATTGTGATCCGAACGAGAGACAATCGAGACGATCGAGACAATCGAGACAATCCTGGGACCCGGCTCGAAAAGCCCCTTTCCCCCGCGATTCTGGCGTGAAAGAGCCCGCTAATTGGATCGAGCATGCAACCGGGATCCCTTTCCTTTTTTTTTTCTCACGAAGAAAATGCGTCGCGTGATGGAAAGTGCAGGTTGCACATCCTCGAGAATTTTCCGCACGTCCTGTCTCGTGACAGGACGGGCGGAAAATTCTTCAGAAAAAGAGAAGAGGAAATCCTAAAAAAAAAAGAAAAAGAAACTTTTCCAGTTCTTCCGGCCCTGGGGAAAGAACAGCTCATTCGTCTGACCACCTTCTCCAGTTCTGAAGGAAATACTTATATATTTTATTGATTTATTTATTTATTATTATTTTTTTTTCTGTAATGCTTTCCGGTGTCAAATTCGGCTGGGAAAAAAAAGTGAAAGTAAAGGGGAAAAAAGGAAAACTGGGCGGAAGTCCCGCCACAGCCCATCAGATAGGAACGGGAAGAAAGCCGCGTTGTCTGTGAAGGACTCCCCTCAGTCGCCTCTCGAGGACTCCCCTCAGCCGCTTCTCGAGGACTCCCCTCAGTCCCCTCAATGACAAAAGTCCTTTTATGGCGGGGAGGAGGGGGGCTCCCCCGAAAAGAGGAGTGAAAAGAGCATTGGCCTTTGAGGAACAACTCGATAAAGATCGCCTTTTCCGTGCTCGGGCGAGCCTGTCTCCGCTCCTGCGTCCGACGGAGTGGCCACACGTCCCGGCCACCGCGGCTGGATGGCCACACGTCCCGGCCGCCTCGGCTCGGGGCACGCCGACAAAGCGGACGAATGAAAAACTCGTTCCCGGAATTCTCGAGTTCGCCCACGCGCATCGTGACCTTCGCAGACGACGTATTTCCCCTTTAAAGCCTTTGCGCGATTTCGATGCATACCGATCGCGACGTTCGTCGTTTGTTCGCAGATGCGGTCGGAGTGCCGGAGCGAGAGCGGGCAGAGCGGAGAGAGCAGCAGCAGCAGCCGACTGGAATACGCGGCCGAGACCCAAGGCTTCTTCTTCCCCGATCTCCACGTGAGTCTCCCGATGTCTCCGGGTGCAGGCGAGTGGGCCAGATTCAAACAAAGAAACGGTGAATTAAAAAAAAAAAGAAAAAAGAGGCGATGCCCTCCGGGCGCGATCCAAACAAAGGCCTCCACCGCGTCGATGACGACGACGACACCGAGGCCGACCCCTCCGATCGACTCCGACCTTCCGATAACTCGGAGGAAGGGGAAAGAGCGAGCCTTGCACACGGCTGGCATTGAACGTGTCAGCAATGCGGAATGAGATGCAGCGGGAGGTCAGCCTCACACTTCCGTCCGTCCGGATCCCAATCAAGACAAACGTATCAGGCGGCCTTCGGAACCCCACCCGATGGAATCCATATCTCATCCGTATCTCATCCGTATCTCGTCCGTATCTCGTCCGTATCTCGTCCGTATCTCACCCGTGTCTCATCCGTATTATTCGATACGCCCGTCTGCGGTTCGCACCGATCGTTCGCTTTCGTCAGCGACGGGGAATCATCCCGTCGAATGGGGATTTATTGAGGCTTTCCATCACTCCCACTCGGGCTGGGGCTGGGCGGGATCCGAACCGATATGCATGGACCGAAATGGAATTTAATTGCTTCTTCCCCGTGGATTGAAAGGGAGGCGAAGAGCACGTCGAGGCCGGAAATTTATGAATGATCGAAGCCTAATGGACCGCGAGGTTTCGTCTTCGCCTATCCTTGGCTCGCGAAGGTCATGATTCGCGATGGGGAAAGAGAGAGGCATGGCCCCCCTCTCTCTCTCCCCCTCCTCTTTCCCCCTCTCCCCTTCCCTTCCTGTCTTGCTCATGACATCACACCGCAACAAGCGGTCATTTTTCATTCCTGCACCGGGGCCTTGAACGCTAGGCGATGGTGGCGTCATCTGGGCCCGAGCCAGGGAACTGATGCTTTACGCGTAGGGTACCAGGTGTCGGCGGCAGTCTCGGCTGCCACACGGTCTTTGTCGACTCCAAACATGTGGAAAGAGCGGGTTGCTGGGGTTATAGCGATGTTACTCTCGTCTCATCACACGAAATATGGTGTTCTCATTAATTCTTGCCGCGTAATTAAAGAACTGGAATTCCTCCCTCAGGCACTTTCTCAGGCGGATGAGGTTTTTTTCTTTCTCTTTTCCCCCAGTTGTTACTTGAGGCTTTTTATCTCGACAATGCACCGCCAAGGTCGCTTGGTAGCCTGATATATCCTGATTGATGGGCTGCTTACCGTGAATGGTAATGTATTATGTCTCGCAGCCGATTTGAGAGGGGGAATGTGTGTCGTTGCATAATAATTATAATTATGATGCTAATTGAGGGGCGAGTGGATTTTTTAACGGGATGACGGGGACACCCGACCCCACCCTTTCCTCTCTTTCAGTCTTCGGCATGGTTGTCGACGGGGATCCTTTATTCCGCTGCCATGTTAGTTTCGTTTCGAGGGTAAATTAGCGGCACGCAAACGAAGCAACCAGGTAGTTAGGGTCTCACACTTGAAATGATAAAAAATTCAATGGAATGAATGAGAATCGGATGAGATGAATCGGAACTTGGGGCGGGGGGGATTCCGGCATCCGTGTCAAACAGGGAATCTTCCCCCATCATCAACAAAGTGGTCGTCGGCGTGGGGCTGCATTGTGAGTGCGCACTCCCGTGTGTCCCGTCCCCACGCTAAACCCGCAGGGATCGAATCACCGGGGACGAAGTGCCACTGACAAAGTGCCTCGGACGAAGTGCCTCGGATGAAGTGCTTGGAATGGCTGCCGTGTCGGGGCGGCCCCGAGCCCCCCCTCCCCGTGGACCCTGACAACTGGAACCTGAAGCGCTTCGGGAGTCGAGGCTACGGCGTGAATCCCTGTCCGAGGTCCAAGCTCGCCGTGACCCATCAGGTCGCTCTCCTTCATTGCACGAGCAATAGAAAACTCTTCCCTCATTCCTGCCTCGGGATTCGACTGGTGAGAAGGGAGATCCACGTCGTCGCTTGACGGATCGCTCATTCCTAGATCCCTTGCTTGAATTTTATTCGACTCATTGTCACCCCTCGAAGTGTCGGAAAGGAAAACATAATTTTTTTATTTATTAGTGGTATGGCAATTAGAGTGAATCGTGAATTTCATTTCGCTCGATCTCAATTGATCATCAGCCAAAGTTTTTACGACGTTTCACTTTTATGGGTAAATTCACCACCAAGCCCCTTTTTATGTTCGAGATACGATGCATTCGAGAAGTAGCAAGAGAAAGTATTGCAGCTCGAGTCATATTGATGCAATTTTAAAAATCACGATCAAGAAGTGGATTTACCCGATTGTCAATAGGCAGACACCCTGCAAACCAGATTTAATTTAATGATTTTTCGGGTTATTGAAGATAAATACCAAATGAAAGAGATTTTATCACTAACCAATAATAAAAAAATAAACTGATAATGAGAACTTGTTACCAAATATTGACTCCGTCACCAAATCACAATGATATCTTCACCAAATTGGAGTCAGTTACCATATTTTTATATTTTTTCATATAACCAAATATGATTGCACCATTACAGGTACTGCTATCACCAAATTTGCACTAGTCCACACTAAATATTTGCTCTCATCGTCGAAATTATGAAATTTTCCGCAATTACGACCCTATTAAGGAAAGGATTTTTCTTCATTTCTTGTCAGACCTGTGATGGCAAACCGAGATTATGAGATCATATCATGCTCCATGATTATATCATGCTCGGGGGGGGGGGGGGGGGGGGGGGGGGGGGGGGGGGGGGGGGGGGGGGGGGAGGGAGGTCGTGCTCCTGTCACGAGAAAATTTTGGTTGATGGAAGGCTTTTCGGGTTTTCTTCATGGTCCTTTTTTGGGATGGCACAGGATAGGCCACTTAGAATTGACAGGCGACTACGTCACTGGGCGGNGGGGGGGGGGGGGGGGGGGGGGTGGTTACTCGTGTAACTGGTCTTGTGCTCGTGAACACGTACGGGAGTTGAGTACTGCGTCGACTTCCAGTCGACAGACTTCTGTGTGCTCTACGTATTAGAGGTGCCATGGCAACTAAGGACTTTGAGGGCATGGAAACGAGAAGAGGCCTCCTTCGTTGCCACCAGTGACGGCAGCGCCACAAGGGAAGAGATTCGGAAAAGTGCGCGAGAAAATCGAATCAGAAAACGGGAGCATCGGACGGACTCGAAGACTCTCCCTCTGGGTTGTGAGAGCTCCAAATTTCGAATTCACATGCCAAGTTTGGGTCAAGACTGGCATTTGCAAGCAATCGCTCGGAATGTTAATTCACAGCCGGGAAGTCAGTGCTGCATTGGAAGATTCCTCCCATTCGACAGAAACGAAAGAGAGGGAGACCGAAGGAGGCTTTGTCAAAGAAATACTTCTTTCTTTCTTGACGCGTGAAATGCGATCATGATCTGGTGTAAACTCGATGAATTTGGTGGTCGTTTCGTGGCGTCTGGTGAAAATACTGAGGGAGAATTTGGCGTTCGATTCGTTAAGTCAGGTGATGACGTCATTTGGTGAAGGTAATAAGAATTTGGTGCCGGCAATTCATTGAGCGACCAAAGAATGGAATCTGGCGATGGATCGTTACCTTTTCGTGACGGAGTCCATATTATTTGGTGGTAAATTAGATACAAACCATATGAAATAATTTAAAAAATATAAAATGAAGTAAAGCAAATGAAACTCGAAGGTTTTGAAGTCCTGTCCTCGAATAAAATTTAATTACTGCCGGTTTTCGAACTTTAACGGTGACAGGTAAAACTGTCATTAATAATTTTCCTCTGGACGTATTATGCTAATATATTTGCCTTCGGGTTGCGTGTTAAGAGTCTCTTCCGTTTTTTCCCCCTGCACAATGGTAGGTAATGAGTAAGCCAAATGGCTTCCAAGAATGACGATACTGGAGTGTCTTTGGCCACAATTGGCCACAAATTAGCCATATTGGCTCGGTCCGGTGCATACAGTGCATGGACGATGGATCTCTGTTTTGGGTCTTCGACAGGGTTGCTAGGAAAATTCTGTCTGGCAGGGTTACCGTGCTCCCGGGGCGGATGGACCCCGGCATGACGTCTGAAATCGTCGTGCCACCCACAAAGAAAAGTGCAAGTAAAAAATTATTATATCGGAATAATTAGACGCTAGCGGCAGGATGGCTGGACATGCGTGATGGTCACGCCCGAGCGGACCGGACGGTCCTCGGTGGAATTTTCCCATTCCACTGCACGAAATGCTCGTTGCCGAGGGCCAGCAGAAATCGACGTTCGTTTTCGACCTTTTCGCTTCGTCGTGACGCAATGCGAAGGATTCCGCCCACCCGCCGGGAATTTTCGGGTGCGAAACGCGTGAGTCGACACGGGGTGAGGGGAGTCCGTTGCGAGCGGGTCCAGACACGAAAGAAACGGTAAGAAAAGGAAAATAAATGCGGTTGCGTAAGGGGGGCTGGATTTCCTCAGTCTTCTCCGGGATTCCGCGGCATCACGCCGTGAAAGAGTGTGATTGTGAGAAGAGGTCAGAGGTCGGGAGCCGAGTCATTGTGCTCGATAAATGCTCGGGACCCGCATTCTCTCGAGTCCCGCAAGGAGGATGACTAACGATAATCATAATTAGTGTCCCAGTGCCATACTGACCGAATTTTATTTGCGTCAATTTGTCTTTTTTTTTTTATTGCAGAGCCTGTCGTCGGAGTGGGTGGATTCGAACATGACGTTCTCGGAGATGATGGAGAAAAAGGTGGTGATGGGGCCCTCGCCTCCCTCCAAAGACGATCTCAAAGCCAGTCTTCCGGAACTGGATTTCATCTCCTCTAAGGTGTGTTTTTCTCGTTTCGCGCTTGCAGTTGGCGTGATTTCGGTGGCGAACGGACCGTGCAATCGGTTTTTCCCTCGGATAGGGGACGTTTTTAGTTCTGTGGATTTTTTTAAAAGACTCCTTTCGAAATTTCCGTCGCGTCGATCCGAATTCCTGGGAGCATTTCGAAACGCCTCATTTGCTGCATTCCTCTTCCGTGTAGGTCCGTGCCCCTGAGCTCATTTTCATGGTTCTCGATCAAGCACGCTGATGAGGTCTGCAGACTAGACGTAAATTCCAGCTCATATTTTTCACGCATCGGGGAAGGAAGCATGAGCGTGACTTCCGAAAACGTTTCTTTATGCACGGTCTGTTGATCCTCAGGTATCCCCGAACCCGTGTCTGATACAGATCCATTCGCGTCACGCATGCACGCTGTATGCAGGTTGGGACAGGTGCGCGACCGGTCCCGCGGGACGGCGGTCCGCATCGGGCCCCTGTTCCCGCGGGGCTGCGGTCCGCGCGGGGCCACTGTTCCCGCGGGGCTGCGGTCCACAGGGAGACCTCGTTCCCGCGGGGCTGCGGTCCGCAGGGAGACCTCGTTCCCGCGGGGCCTGCGGGGTTCGGGCCTGTCCCTCGCGATGGGCTTTCGTGACGTAATCTCTCGCCCCCTCTCTCTTTCTCTCTTGTCCGGCATAGATTGCCCTTGGCACGGTGGTGGAGGAGTTTTCCCTCTCATTCCGGGCGTGGGCACCTGGGATCCTATTCCACCATCCGCGTGCATTCGTGTCTCTGTGCCTGTGTGTGCTCTGTCAGTCCATCTGTTACTCTTTTCAGGCCTCGTTTTCAAGGTTTTTCTATTCGAGTGGGTGTTCGCATGGAAGCGCATTCCAGATACCTTTGTGATGCGCGTCCATTGTCGAGGGAAACAAAGGCCGTCTTTCCGCTTTTTGGCACATCACGGGCTCGTCTGCGACAGAGTTAAATTTTCGTCGATTCCGTCGATACGTTGAACAGTTGGGGAAATACTCTTGTAATGACGTAATCGCCGTGGTTCTCGTCATTCCGGATCCGGAATGCAGATTCCATCGATATCGAAAACCAGTTTTTCTGAGTCCAGTGGATAAAGAGTGATGATTCCTTTTTGACCATGAAATCGTATCCTGCGTCATCGAGATCCTGGTCGAATCGAGAACAGAAGCTATTGCGAGGTAGGAAAAGAGGAATTACGATTCATCGCACCTGTTCGTGTCAAACGCACATCGAACCGAGAGCAACGCAAGGTCAAGGGAATTAAGGAAAGCGTGGGGGACCAAATGAAGCCTATCCTCCACTGAAACTGGAAGATCTCCAACTGAAGACGCCCTTGGTACCATCGTTACTGGGCCGCATAGGGTTGGGAAGATCTCCAACTGCAGACGCCCTTGGTGCGGTCGTTTTTAGGCCCCATAGGGTTGGCCCCTCCTTTCGCAATCCCTAATTGAATAAGCAAGTCCTTTCATTCAGAGACTCTCTCCGCTTTTGGAAGTTGCGACTGTGTGAGACTTATGTCTTAGCTGTCGTTTACCCATTATGCTTTCTGTGTTTGACCTTCAAAGTGCTCGTTTTCGGGTCTGGTTGGTCAACATATGTGGGTCGATATGAGTGACCTAGCCCTCCTTCAGTGAAAATTTTTTTTCCTTTCCATTTGCAAGCTACAATGGCTCCGGTTTTCATGTGTCCCATGACTCGTGTATTTAGTTTTAGTTAGCTAAGTTTTATATATGACATGGAAATTCATTTATTTATTCGATTTTGCCTTCGTGTTTCTTTCGCGCGATCAGGAGCTTCAATTCCTGGACCACAGCCCCCAAAAGGTGAAGAGCAGTGTGAGTCGCAGCGGGTCATACAGTCGCAGACGCCCCCCATCGCGTGCCTCCCGCCTCTCCTCACTTTCGAACGGATTCGAGCAAGCAGGATCGGGGAAGCAAGGAGCATCCTCGTCTAATGGAGGAGATTTCCTGACAACCTACAAGTGGCAGGTTCTGAACGATTTCCGGAACTGTGTCCGAGAGTTCCAGGAAGAGACGATCCAGATCGGTCGAGCCCGACTGGACGAGATCCATAACCAGGGACCGGCCTTACCTTCCGCCAAAAAGGCTCTGCCCTTAACCTTCAACCAAGAAAAAATTTTCAACCAGGGGAAAACCTTCAACCAAGAGAAAACCGTCAACCAAGAGAAGACATTCAACCAGGAGAAAATCGAACCGGCTTCAGAAAGCTCGGAATCGTCGACGAGTGACAGCACGAGTGACAGCTCGAGCAGTGAAACGCTGAGTACGGTGAGAAGCGTGGGAGCCTCCTCGACGTCATCCAAACCCGCCTTGGACGAGGAGATTTCCGTCCAGGGAAGTGAATGGACGAAAGAAGACAGGGACGCAGAGGACCTGTCGTCTGTTTCGGGCAAGTTTTCTTCCTACTTGTCCTCGTCGATCCCAGACGACCGTTTCTCGACGGCGAGCAGCAGCTCATCTTGGCTCAGTGAAATCATGCATCGAAGCACCCCGTTGGGCGAACGCATCCGACGGAATTCTCTTAAAGACCTCACCGACGTGGACGGATTCGGAGCGCGGAACAACCACGACGGGATCGCGGGTCGGTATCATAGCCCGAGTTCCTTCAACGTCCGCCGGACGATCGAGAAGCGTCAGATGAATCAAAGAAGCAGTTCGGAAACCAGAGGAGAAACGGTGAGGATCCAAATCGGCGGAAGCTTGGAAAAGAGCAAAAGCCTCAGCTCCCTGGAACAGGAGTCCGGGAAAGAGGATATGGAAACCTCATCGGTCCTCAGCAAATCTGCATCGAGCCCCACACTAGAACGAGAGAAGACTCACGTCCGAGATTACCTCTTCGGCACGTGCATCGCAAATCAGCTTGATTACGAACTTCAAGAAGGAAGTTCCCAGGGTATGCAGGAAGGGACTTCTTCCCGAGGTTCCCTGACTGGTTCCTTCAACAGGGGAGAGGGACGACGAAAGACGTACGCCTTCGAACAGGCCATGAGCACCCACATTCAGGCCTCCATCGACTATCTCCGTCGACGCTCGTCACCAGGCCCCATCTGCGACACCAAGGTCAAAGGTGAAGACGATACGAAACCACCATGGGTGAACGAGGTCAAACTTCGTCCCACTCCAGAGAGGGAGAGGCTCCTCGTCGAAGACAGGCCCTGTAAGACCTTACAGGACGACGAGGACCAGAGAACGGTCATCAAGATCCGGCCATACATCAGCAAGTCTTCGGGAGAACTTGCCAGCCGAAGCCAAGACCAAGTTCTAAATCCTTTGATTAGGGCCGAGCCGAACTGGATGAGATTGGCCAGGGAGCGTCGAAGTCTCCGGGAGAAGAACATGAAACGAGATGAAGGGCCTCCGTTCTTATCCAAAGTCACTCTCGAACAAGGTCAAGCTCATCCGCAGCCCCAGAATGAACCCAAGGAGACGAAGATCTGGGTCTCGGACTCCAGTCCCGTTCCTCAACGAAGGCAAGCCGTAAGTCGAGTGTCGATCGGGAGCCCTTCGAGCGAAAGTCAAAGCGAAAGCCCAGGTCCTGGTCCAGGTCCAGGTCCAGGTCCGGGTCCGGGTCCGGGTCCGGGTCCGGGTCCGGGTCCGGGTCCGGGTCCGGGTCCTGGTCAAGGACAGGTCCCAGGAATATCCAAGTCCGAGGAACGGATGTGCGAGGATAAGCCGGCCTTTCTTCGAATCAAACTTCGACCCGTTCAGAATCAGAATCGGAAGTCGATGGACTTCCGTGAGTACAATTTCCGGAAGCCGAGTTTCGTGGAAATGCCTCTGATGAACGGGGATGCAGAAGGAGACGTGAATGTGATGATGCAAAAACCCGCCCTGAAGAGCATCCTAAAGAGGCGAAGCGTGGACAACGTCCTCCAGGACCCTCCGTCCCCGACGTCCACGTTGACCTCCGACCTCGCGCCGATCCCGACCTGGGTGGAGGCAGCCGAGAAGAAGAAAGCCCGAGCCGAGTCGGTCAACTGGGCCCAGGTGGAGTCCCAGCAGTCTCAGCAGAAACCCGCAGAGGAGAAGAGAGTTTCCTGGCTCGAGGAGGTGAAGGTCACCCTCCGGAAGACCCCCGATGTGTCCCCCGACAAGGACACGAGGCCGAAACCTTATCTGTTCGGCGAGACGCCGGAAACCCTCACTTTCTCCACGCCTTCCAATGCCGATGACTCGAAGAGAGACAAAGAGCAGCCCCCATCCGTCCCGGAACAAGAGAAGGGAACTTCGGATTCCCGAATCAAGGACTTCCAGGAGGAGAAACGAATCGAAATCGTTGAGAAGGAAACCCCGACCGCGGATCCAGGTACGTCCCTTTGCCTTTGTTTCATCGTTACCTTCCCGTCGTTCCCGTCCCATTTCGTATGAATACTAACTCGAGTACTAACGCTTCATGCGCTGTACAGGCACTTCCAGGCGACAAACAAACTCGGGCAAGATAAAAAATCCGTTTTGGTTTTAAATATGGACCTAAATGACTGGACTGCTCTTCACGCTTGATGCGCGCTTATTCAAAGCACCCAAAGCCACTTGTATAATAAAAAATGTACTGTGTATAAAAGTAATCTCGGTATGATACGATTATTGGACATAAAATACAGGTTTCACCGAAGAAGCTTCTCTAGTCACCGCGATACTCAAGGACTACTTTCGCAACATGTAAGGATTCCATACAGGATTGATCCATCAATATAGCCAATTGGAGTAGAAAGTGCCCCATCGGTCGCTTCAACAGAACTTTCACTCGATGTGAGTAATGGAGATTTTGGTCATTTTTTTTGGTAGCGTTCTCCAGCTATTTTTTCTCGCTGAGATTACCACAATACTAATGGGAGTAACTCATGCTCATCGCCGTTAATCTATGCCAAGTTGGGATGCTAATATGTGCCAAATTGCCATGCCTATTCCAGGCATTCGCAATGGCATCGAGCAGTCCAGTCACGTTAGTCATGTCCATCGGGCTTAAATGGAGGGGTCGAGGCTCTGTGTGACACCCGATTTATTCTATGCTCGTAGACTCCGACTCTCGGAACCCTGTGGTAATTTGTCAATGTATTTTTTTTTTCCACCATGAGTACTGGCGATTCCCAGCGAGAGAGTTTTTTTGCAGTGATCCCCGAACCGGTATACGCGATAGTAAGGAAAAAGGGCAGAGAAAGAGCAGAGAAAGGGGAAGGCGTGGAGGAGATGAAGGCAAACCTCATCCAAGAATTGAAAGCATGCCGTTTTCAACCCAGGAAACGACTTCCCCTTCTTACTAACCAGGTCCTCCAGATGCAATCTCGACGTATCGCACGCACGTTTTATCCATGCGAACTGCACCCTTCCAAGTTTCTCGTATATGCATGCGTGGTTCGGCCGTCACCGTCACGACCGTCACCTTTCACTGGTATGGTGATGGGATCGCGACACGCACTTGCTGCCTCTTCGGATAGAATCTAGTAATTTAGGGAAAGCTCTTGCTGCACCGTTGACACTAAATGTAGCCATTACGAAATTTTTGAGACAAAAGAGTGAAAAACTCATCACCAAAAGGTCTGCATGGGATACCAGTATCGAAAATGTCACGCACCATCTGTCGCCACCGATCCATGAAAGCATGCATTCTCGCGTGTCCGGTTTCTTTTTACGGCACGCGTGGCGGACACATGTCATTGTTCCCCTCTTTCTTCTCTGTCCTTTCTGACCAGGAGAGGTCGGGTCTCCGTCGTCCCCCCCAGGTGCTGTCTTCCCTAACGTCCTATCCGTGTTGCAACACATTTCCTCGTTGAAGTGCCAGAACCCTCCACCGTTCCCCTCCCCCTCGGTCCCAGCTTCAGGCGACCGAGTGACAGAGGACGAACCCGCCCCTCCCACGGTGCCCCGCGACCGCGAGGATCCCCCCGAGCCCAAGTTCCACCCGCCGCCCTCCTCCCTCAAGCTGGGACCCGTGGAACCCCCGTCCGCGTTGACTTCGCCGAGTCTCGTTTCCCAGAAGAACCTCAAGGTCTTCGAGGAGCCTCTCGAATCTTCCAAAGGTATCCGTCATAATCGTATCGGTTGAGTCATTTCGCGTGGAGAGCGGATTAACATCATCGCGACTTCAGTCTGTTGGCAGAAAAATACTTTCATTCTGACGCTTCAATGTCGGTGGCGAAAGCGAACCTGAACGCGCTTAGAAACTTAAACGAGAATACCTTCCTAAAGCATCATGCTTGAGGTCAGCCCGTCCTCCAAACGCACCACGTCGTTCCTGTCTGGAGGATTGGAATAATCGAAGCAGACAAACGATCGCCTCGGAGAAGAAGCAAAAGGCGGCCAAGGGCATATAGATCGGTCGAGGCTACTTTGAATTTTTAAATCGTCTCTCGGATTTCTTTTTCATCTTCTCGATTTATTGAATTGATCATCGCATGCATATGTAGATAGTCCATTTGGAAGTCGGTTTGAAGACAATTAGATACCGGTCTGAAATGTTCTTCCCTTTGGGAGACTCAAGGAGGAAATGCCATCGTTATATAGCGAGCAGCAATTCCAGAAATAGATTCCTATTTCGTAACCGGGCACTCCGAATTCCTATACAAATATATATATCTCGAACTTGAAATGTGCGGACCGAGGCTGGTCTCTAACAAAATATGTGTGTGTTTCGGATATCAGTTAAAGTTGTTGCAATTCGTTTTGAAATGAAACGGAACCAGTGGAAAGGAGAAAGGAGGGGGGGGGGGGGGGGGGGGGGGGGGGGGGGGNGGGGGGGGGGGGGGGGGGGGGGGGGGGGGGAGATAGGGGGGCGCGATCGAATAGACGGATGAAAAGAGCGCGACCTGAAAAGTTTGCGCACCGCTGCTCTATTAGATGACAATTAGCGCCCGCTCGATAATTCTGGCGATCATCAGAGCTCTGCGTCATGGCTCGGAACGCCTTTATTGGCATACGGCGATGAAGGGATCACAGTATGATGCTGAGACGACTTTTTTAGAGTGGGCGGCCCATGTGGCGCCATTGCTCATTAAAAGATCATCAGTTCCGGCTGCAATGTGATAGTTTCAGCTATCTTCGACTTTTCCCCATCTAAATTCAATCATCATTGAAGTAGGACTTACATCCACGCTTCCGTCCGAAAGGGTACCAGACTCTAATTCTGCTAGCACGCGATGAATAAAAAAAAAATCAAACCAAAACAGGAGTTACGATTCGTATTTCCCCTCTCCTCTCAACCTCAACTCTTTGGTTTCTCCTTCATGGCATCATTTTTGCTGAAAAGGATGTCAGACCTATCTCGATTATGTGCTATCTTGAAGGGACTGCTGGTCTCTGGTCCCGCAATGAAAATTTCATGAAAGACCAAAATGCCAAAAAAAATGAACGGTTTAGTTCTGAAAAAACCCGGTGAGTTACCGGGAAAGGTTAAGACTTTAAAACATGGGTGAAATTGTGTTAACTTTTGAAAAAAAATTAAAGGTTCACACCCATCATTAAACACGAGGTTCGTGTTTGGAGGATAACGACAAAGGGGACGTCATTTCATCTCAGGGAAGGAAGAGGAAGGAGAAGCAGTAGAAGACGAAAAAGAGAAGATGACGGAATCGCCGAAGCCTCCATTGAGGTCGAGGAGTCCCACGAGGCCCATCCGCCTCTCCGAGCTGCTGCGTGGGGGCACGGACGCCCGCACGCCGCCGCAGCCCCTGCCCCGCAGGAGGTCCCGGGAGAGGAAGCTTGCAGCCGAGGAGGAGGGAGCGAGGGGCGCGACCAGGTCTTCGCCGGGGAGGCCCCCCAGGGAGCACGAATGCATCCCCGAGAGGCCTCAGCGGAATCTCAGCAACAGGGATTCCGGTGGAATCAAGGAGAAGTACGTGAGCGTGAGTCGGAGGTCCGTGTCCATGAGTCCTTCTCGTCTCTGGTTCCGATCCAACAAGGACAAGGACAAGGAATCACCGTCCTTGGTCCGACGGGTTCTTCAGCATCAACAGCAAAAGGAACCGCAGCAGCAGCCTTCCCCAAGTCCTATCCGGGACAAGACGAAGAAGGAACGGGAGATGGCGTCGAAGAGAAAGGAAGAAGACTTACGCCAGAGACAGAAGTCTGACAAAGAAAAAGACAAGGACAGGGAAAAGGACAGAGACAGGGACCGCGACAGAGACAAGGACAAATACAAGGCCAAGGCCAAGGATCAGCCTGGAAGGCACATTTCCCCCAGAACCACTTCTTACAGCAATCACCTTCGTCGTGACTACTCCCATAAGGATGCTTCGTGGAATCCTTCTCAAAAGTCTTCCTCATCCACGTCTGACATGAGATCCCATAAAGACAAAGGAAGAGCAAGATCCTCCTTGAATGCCACCCAAGAAAAGGATCCGAAAAGAAGTATCCCTGCTAGGAATGCCCCATCCAAATACCATGCTCTTGCCCATAAAGAAGAGCATGGGAAAGGGTCAGTGCGAGAGAAGGAGAGGGAGGAGAAGGAGCCCGTGGTTCGGAAGTGTAGCCTGGAGAGAATCTTGAATCCCAGAAAGGAGATCGAGATCATCGACAAGAGCGGCTCGACGCAGACGGACCAAAAGACGTCGTTGGACAAAGTCCTCAAGGACAAAAGCCTCAGCAATGGACACGGACACGGCCACGGCCACGAGGGACCGTTGAAGCTTCATCACCTGGACGACATCCCCCGGAAGGACGACACCCTCAAGATGGACTTCCCCTCCAGAGTCAATCAGAAGAAACTCTTCGGCAACGGCTTCTTGGTGCACAAGGAGTCTCCAGACGGAGTCAAGGACAAGGACACCGACAAGAACCTCGACGTCCAGATCCGACCCAAGTCCATGAACGGCCTGCACAACGGCACCACCCACCACACCAAGCAGAACGGATCGACGGAAGATCCTAAGAGAGCACTCAACGGCAGATCCGAAGACGAAGATCCCCGGATCGAAGAGAAAAAGAGCCACCGGGAAGAAATATCCTCCTCGAACGGGATCCTCGTCTCGATGGACGAAGACAACAACCTCCTGGTAGAGATCCAGAACTCCTCTCCCTACTCCAGTTACTCCTCCTCGTCGTCCTCCTCCTTGGATGGAGTGAGCAAGAAGAATGCCAAGAACCTCCAGTTGACCCAAAACGGTCATCATGAGAATGGAGAAGTTCGAAATGGAGTTTCATCCGAGCTCCAAATTCAACCCTATCATCGTGGACCTCACTCCTTCCTGGAGACGACGCCCAACGGAACCGGTAACTCATCTCCGATGGCCCCTCTCGGTTTTTTCAGTGAGGTAGCGAATGAGAACACGCTGCTCGCCTTTGTCATAGGGCCAGAAGGGCACTTGGAGACGGCAGAAGGCGGAGAAAACGGCTTCGTCACGACCAGAATCTCCACGGGGCCCGACGGCCGATTGTCCATCTTGACGGAAGGGGTCAAGAACAAGAAGATTGCCTCTCGGGAGGTCCTCAGAGGTCTCTTTCTCTTTCATTTTTCCTCTTCTTCACCTGGAGATTCTTGGTAGCACCCAGGGCCAGTCAAATGAAAACAGCAATTAATTTATATTTGAGATTAGAGGATAGAGAGAGAAAAACAAGAAACGCGCTTCTGTTTCCTCTAATCACCTCGTCCACCTTCGTGATGTTATCGTCCGTGATGATGACATTGGCTCGTCTGGTTTGGGTTTGTAGCCAGTGCAAACGTGTCCACCCCGAAACATTTTACACCATTCGTGTTCGTGTGTCTCAGATAAACATGTCTCACCATAAACGGCAACCATTCTCTGATGGGTATTAAGTGGTTTCGCACCTTCTGCTCACAAAAACTGTATCACTGCCTGATGTTCCTTGAACGCCCCTTCTATGGATGCCCATCTTTACGCGGCTACAACGGGAGTAATCTTCCGCAAGCGATGGTGCCGGTTAAATTCTTGGCGCTACACCAGCGTACCTAAGGTATAATATATACGATGTCGTGATGATGTCATTCGTGTGATTATTGGTGTGAGCAAAACTCGCGCTAAAAATCGTACAGGTTCGATTGACTGGCCCTAGTACTTGGGGTGTTGTGGCAACGAGTACGAGACAACGAGTACGAGAAAGCCTCAAGTCCAGACACTTCCCTTGCGAACAAATACAGGATGACAAGTGTTGTAAACAGAATCCGGAATAGCTTGAGTCTGGAATACAAGTAATCCTGAAAAAATCTAATAAGTAAATAAAAAAATCTTCAGTATACCAACTATTTAATAATGGAGACATTTTTACGGCACACGATTTGTCTGAAATTTAACATTTGGAAGGTTTGCTTAGCCATTTTCTAAACACTCCATCGGTTTTGAAATTGGGAGATTTATATGCATTCGAGTCACGCTCCTTTTTGGGCTACTGGGCTTGGCTTTGCCCAGTTCTCCTGCTCCCCCCGTGGCTATTTCCCCGTATCATGCTGCCTTGCCATCGCAGTCACGCTCCGTTCGAAACAGCCTTGCACTCGATGTGGATCGCTCCTGCAGATGGTCCGTGGAGCGGGGTGAGGGAGATGCAGGGATGCCGGGACCAGAGGCTGGTGGTGGAGGAGTCCAGTTCGGGCGGTGGCTCGACCAGGGTTGCCAGGGTCGTGAAGCAGTCTTCTCACACCACCACGGTCACGTCTGTAGCCTTTCCAGTCGCGTCCCGCCCTTCCTCCTTTTATGGCGTCTTCTCAAGTGCATGCTTCCCTTGCAGGACGATCAAGAAATATTCAAGACGGTGATACGAGTCTCCATAGCAGCGACTAACCTCTAACAACATCAACAGGAACAGTCCCCAGTCACTCACCACTTTTTGTGATTCTCTCCAAGTGTTCTCATGATAATTACTGCCATTTTTATATAAAAGAATTCCTTTCCAATGAATTAATTTGTGATGCGTGAATCCAAGAGTTTCTTCCATTTCTCTATCACTCCAACGGTATAACTCAGCAACAGAGTAAAAAGATTAATTTGAAGCATTAATCGAGGAAAATGCACAGGAGGAAAATGGATATCTATCTGCCGATTGCCTGTACGAAATCTGCGCAAGAGGAGTCGTGAATCATAACTCTTTGCTTCAAGGTTAGAATAAATGCTGTGATCCTCTTGGAGGGATAGAGGAAGCAGAGGTGATTTCATGTTTATGAGCTCCTTGCCTGAGAAAGATATTTTTTAATTTCCCCCCTTTGCCTTCTCAAAACGGGATACGAGTCTCAATTCTCGTAACGGTTGAAGTGGATTCATATGACTTGTGGGAAAATATGTTCTTCTTTCTTCTCGGTATTTTTTTCCTTCTCTTTTCTGCCAGTTCGTGACAGCCTTGGCGGCTGTGCCGAGCATGGCTGGTTTTCGATCGTTCCCATGGGAATTGCGGTGACGGATGTGATTCTGCTGCATCAGACAGAAACGTCATCTTTTTTTCCATAAAAAATGTCAAAAATGCAGCAGTGAATCAGGTATATTTGACGTTCGGGGGGCGATAGGCCCCCCTCCCGACTCTAACAGCTTCATCCATCCCTTGCATCCTTGTAAGGCATGGCGTAAACGTGGGGGAAAGTCCGGGAGACCACCTGGACACTGAGAAAACGAGGAACGCATGGAACCATTAGCGTGCTGAGATTTTCAGATGAATCACTCGGGACACCCCCAGTTGACAATAACGGTCGTCGACGGGGGAGGGGGAGGGGGGGCAAAAGCTAAGAGAATCTGTGATACTATGTAAAATCTGTTCTTGAAATACGGAACAAAAAGAAAACTTATTGAGATGGAAATATGGACCCCTTCATTATAAACATGGATTAACGGAACGGGGAGGCAAAAACAGAAAAGGAGGTCATCCAAGGAGAAGTGCGTACTTAGAAGTGGCACCTCTCGATCTCCCCCACGCGTCGCGCCTTTTCGAGTTAAAGACAGACTTAACTGTCTCCCTCCCTCGCTCCATCCCTCCATTCTCTCCCTTGCAGTTTTCTGGAATGACGTCCCTGGACCTTCCCCTACCGGATTCACGCTCGTTCCCTTTCTCTGGGCTCCAAATGGAATTCGGAATTGAGAACGCGCGAAGCCATGCCATTCATTTTCTGGAACCCATTTTCCCTGACGGCGCGCTTGGCTGCTTCCTAAGGATTTCCCGTCCAAAAATGCAAGGGACCGACTCTGGTCCCGTCTCACCGGTCCCGTCCCGTCCCGTCTCACCGGTCCCGTCCCGTCCCGTCTCACCGGTCCCGTCCCGTCCCGTCTCACCGGTCCCGTTCCATCACAAGTGTTTGTCGGTGTCACTTCGGTCCAATATTCGTCGTCAGACGATGGCTCTAAAGATCCCGCCTTCATTGCGGTCTTAATAGCTAAATGATGCAAATGACCTCGATCCAAGTAGGGTTCGTGTTTGGCAAACCTCCTGCCAAAAAAGCACACATATTGCAAATTTGGCGTGTACATTATCGACACGCGATCTCGGGACTAGAAACGATCGGACAGCCTCACCCAGCCTTTTCGTCCCACTCACCCTGTTCACCGCTTCTCCGTTCGTGCTTCAAGAATCATAAGGGGAAGCAGCCCGATGCCAATTCCTTTACGTCTAAGCTAAACGTGACCGAGACAGACGGGAGAGGTCACGAAAGCGAACCCAGCTCACCAGAGGACGACCCCAAGGACGACTCCGAAATCGTGACGTCTTGCATGTCGCTGTGGCTTCAGTGTCTCCTTTTGTCCGAAGTCCACTTTTAAAATTTTGACGGTCATCGTGATATGATGATATGGAGATATTCGCCGTGGCAGGTAGCGTCGACCCAAATGAGAACCGTGGCGGAGCTGTCGACAGTTCGAGGTTGCTTTTCTACAAGTTAACGTCGGTCTCGACTTCCAGTCGTGAACGAAACGGATTATCTGGATCATCTGCCTACCTCATGCCTACCTCAATAGTCAAACACGTCTCAATGTGGGGCATGGAAGAGAGAGGGGGGGGGGGGGGGGGGTTGAGGAGGGAACGAGTAACGTCACCCCAAAATGTGCTCCGATGACATGTTTCTATGTTGGAACGGAGCCAATCACGAGGCGGCTCCTTGAATCTCTCGACGAGATGTGGGGATTCATTCCGTCGTAGCCTTCGAAATCGGGAATGTGCCGGGTCTCAAAAGCTCCAAGGACTCGCAACTTCTCCGCGTCTTTCACGCGTGTCGCACGCCCTTCACGAATTTCTCGTGCTCCAGACAGGCGTGAAATGCGCGAAGGAGGCGTGGAAGGAATCGACCGGCGTGGGCATGGAAGGGGCAAAAAGGGGGCAAAAAGGGGGGGATTTCCATACGAGCAGGCGGCGACATCTTTCGTAGCAGAAAGGAAGCTCCTCTTCCTGCTTCGGAGACGTAGAGCGACATCCATCGACTCCATTCAATTTCTCCATGAGCTCTCGGGAAAGTCCATTTACTCGAGTTCATTTTTCAGCTTATGATATTTGCCTGTTTCAATGCGGCAAAATTTTCTTCATAATGCGTCACTGTCGAAGAATGTGGCCGAGGGGATTCACCGCAAGACTAAGATTTTCATCGAAAGCCTTAGAATAATTCTCAATGTGCTCATTACGGGCACGAGCTACGGGGCCGCAGGGCTGCAGTCTCCCCAGTCATCTCGGAGGCACAGAATCACGTTCCAATGTAAAATAAGAATTTAGATATTCTAAATAGAGTTTGGAGCACAGCGGGCTGCGCGTCCCACAGCCTGCATGAAATACACAGCGCGCCGGCGCGAGATGAACGTTAGGGTCAGTTTTCCTTGCGTTGTATCTACGAGGTGACGCATTCCCGTGCAAAAAGAAAATCTGGTGCTTGCCGCCAGCCACACATCTGCGATCGTTGCATTTATTAATCTTAATTTTCACACTAAGTCATAAAATACTAAGTGTATGATATACATTGCTCCATGCGTTTTGCACGAGGTAAAATGTAGCCCTTCCTCCCCTTTGGCATGACGCGCCCAGCGGCCCCTGCCCTTCCGGCCGTTCCGCATATTTCCTTGCCAATCTTCGGCTTTCAACGGATCTCCGTTAAGTCATGGCGAACAATTTTCAGGAAATGTAAGACCATCAGGAAAACGTGCCCCGAGGGGATGCGTGTCAAGAATGGGAACCTTTTAAACTCACCATCAGACCAGCGACTTGTCGGACAAGTTTCACCTTTCTGATTCTCCCTGATTCGCTGAAGCAAAAAAAAAAGTTCTTGCCATGTTTTTGCTCTAAAAATATGCTCCCAGGGATAAATGATGGAGACGGAGGGAAGCCTGCTTGGGTTTTTCACGATTCGGCATATGCTTCTCGTTGATAGATTTAAATGACGTTGAAAACCATTGTCGAAGTCCATGTCTGGTGTCCCGAAAGAGGTTCTTCGATCAGAAAGTATCCAACGGCGGGACTGTGGTGGAACACGCCTTCGTACGACTCAACGGAAAGTCCCGCTTTCTTTACACGAGATGGCTACATCGTCCATACCTCTTGTGCCCGGTACGACATATTTGAAAGGTAAGAGAATTCCGATCTATTGTGTTCTAGTGAGGAAATGGCTGGTATTCCGCTCTCAGGGATTCCTCTGGACCTCACTTTGCCCAAATGGGGATCCAGATGAGGTAACTAATGTAGTTTTGGACCTAATTTGAATGTGAACGGTGCAATAATGGAGTCCATCCTGATCCCGGTATGGAGATGAACCTTTCATGTTCTATGAGGAAAAAGTGACTATGCTTTACGAAAAAATCCTATGGAATCCTATAGGATTTTCCCGTTAGAGATGATAGCTGCTCAGCCCAATGGACGTATATTTCTATTTGCACATAAAAAACAAATCAGAATAAGAACTTATAAGAAACATACAACGGGGAAATTCAGTGGAATGATAAGAAAGACGTAATCAGAAAATGGAAATTTCGGGATGCGTGAAGCTTCAGATTTCAAAGATTCGACATATGCAGCAGTTCAGTGAAAAACAATTGGAGTATTCGGAAAGTATTTGGAGCAATGTTGTGCCATGGCGTATATGAAGGAGGATATACAGAGTGTTTATGAAGTCTTGTGCATCTTTAAACTTGAATAACGTTGGGTGTACATGATGGAAGCAATTTGTAAACAGCATATGGAAGCATAAATATTATAGGTTATTTTACACACTGAGCATAAAATTCTATGCCTCTAAATAACATCCATATTTCTTATTTTAAGGGCTCCTCTAATGCTATTTTGAGGTGTCTTAGAGAATGTGAAATCGAATTGGATTATTATGTGTAAATGGGAAGGGGATCGATGAAAAGCGGGTGATGTCAGTGTTGTTTGAGCGCAACGTGTGTGCAATCGGTGCAATATGAGTGCAATCGGTGCAATGTGAGTGCAATCGGTGCAATGTGAGTGCAATCGGCGCAATGTGAGTGCAATCGGTAAATTGAATAATTGGGTGCGCGCAAGTGCATACCTATCAACACTCACAAAGGAAATTCTTGTACACAAAGTTTCTGGCAATCGATAGCCATACTGGAAAAGCAAAGCCTTGAACGTCTCCAAGCAGGGAAATCCGCACCGACGAAAGCCTTCCCAACTCAGGCTGTGACCCATGATTGCACCCAAGTGGCGAAGAAGGAGGCCCTCGTGAATCTATTTGGCGCCCTTCCATCGCATATCACCGCGCCAAAGGAATCCATCCCAGTGAGAAATGCTTGACTGCCATACTGCGTGACCAGGGGTCCTCCACTGTCTCCCTGTGGGCCATCATTGAAGAAGAGAAACATGGATGAGAACGCCTTCAGCTTGGTGCTGGGAATAAAGATCGCAGGAAGGTCTGAATCTTGGAATAGAGAGGCAGAGATTTAAATCCATCTTTCTTCGATGTTCGACAATGAACGGCATATTAGAATATCAGTCCTGATATTAAACTTAAAAAATTGGCATTTCCACAAAATGTAATTTGATCATATTAAACTTATATCTCATGCCATCCGAAATAATTTTCCTTCGAAAGGGATTTCACGGGAGATGAGAGCAAACAAGACATCCTGCTCCTCATGAATAGCGGATGTACAGTATTGCTAAATAAGCTTCATCAATGTACTGTATATACTATTGGTAATCAGGATCATCGCCATCTTACTAACTTGAGACTTTGCCAATCCGTCCTCCCCCCCACACCCAAGCCTTTACGCTCGTCGCTTCCGGATTTCTTTACGCAGAGGGAATGTGTAAGCTGAAGATCGAGACATACGCGGCAGGCGTCACTGCCAGGGCTGATTCCCTGGGCACAGATGACTCTCCCGTCCGTGAAGTTGCCACAATATGGTGAATTCGCGACCACAGTGAAGCCCAGCTTTTGCAAGATGTTGGGGTATTGCGTGGCGGCCGAGTCGGTGGCCCCCCAGCCGTAGGCCGTATGACTGCATGAGGAGATGCCTTTGAATCCCGTGATGGAGTCGCTCGTGGGGTAGCAAATCGGCTGGATTGTCGGACCGAAAGTCAGCCTCGAAGTCAATTGGACGAGGGCTATGTCATAGCCATGGGTCTGGACAGTACCTGAGGAGGGAACGAATAAGAAAACCTCAAGAAATGGCTCGCGATTAACGTCCGTCCGGAGCAGAATCGGACAATGCAGCAATAATGCACGAAGTTCCGCGTGAAGGCCGTTCTTTTTGTAAGGTTCCGCGATAGTAATCTCATTGGAATGCATTTCCTTCCATTTTGAAACGAAAAATAAGGGGCTTCATGAACATTGAGGTGGCCCATGCCCTTGGGCAATCAAATTTGTTGAAGCTACCATTCTCAGTCTAAGAGGACCTACGTTGCATGGTGATTGCGGGAAAAAAGCTAAACCCAATCTAATTAGTTTTGAATGTGTATGTCTATAGAGCATTCATTTCGAACGTCAACGAATATTTCCGCAGGAGGCGAAAAGAAGAAACACAACCTGAAATCCGGCCTGCCGCCAACTCTTCACGAGGAGTGTTCCTATCCACTTACTGGAGGAAGGAGATCTCAACTGGGTCATGGTCTCACCTGGGTCGAACGATGCATGGGCGAAGAAGTTCTGGGCGAGGACGACGCTTCCGGCTGTTTTATCGACACTCCCCACTCGCACTCTCACTGCTCTTGCTTTCATCCTAATAAGGAGAAAGATTGCCGGGATTTAACCAAAAACATGAAGCATCTTGCATTTTTGAAGTTGTCAGGCAATTCTCTAAGGACGATTCTGGAAGATAGCATGTTTTACGAGGCATCGGGCCGCTATGGGGCTCGATGCCTCGAGAAACATGCCACCTTCTCTCCTCGGCGCCGCAGCGAAGGCCCCTTTACGAAGTCACACAGGCATCTTTTAAAGGTAAGATAACTAGGTAAGATGACGGTGAAGTGACCAGTCCAAAAATACCCTCGTTGCCTTGTTACATTACCTTCTGAATCTTTTTGTGCATCTTCAACGCTTCTGAAACGGAGCGAATTAGTAAGTGCGACACAAAATAATCTCGACTGACATGTTATCGTCGTAGATGCAATGCCCGGCAGTGACGATCCACATATCGCTGATGATGGAGCCTGTGCAGCTCACAGTATTGCCATCCAGCTGCAAAATCTCGATGTAGGCAATGAAAGGCGCTTCGCTTATGGTGGCCGGGGATCCACCTACGAGCAGCCCATCCTGCCTCACCAGCATTCCCATGACTGGTCCCAAGAACCTCGTCCAAAGACGGCTCCACCAGGCGACTCCTGCTGATCCCGTCGACGTTGACTGTCCGCAGGGCTGGGTCGTCACTGGATGGAGTATACACAGCGATTCGCCTCAATTCAATGATTCTGCTATTGCGTCATTGTATTTTCGCATAACAAATCTTAATATCGATTGAGCGTCCTTAACGTAGGTGACTTTTTTGTCGCTGATTTGAAAACTCCCTGATATCGTTCTTACTCATGCCTTCTTGAATGAAACTCCACATTTTCTTAATCGGTACGTTTACGAATGCAACTCCTCGCGGAAAAAACGTTTCAGAGTAGTTCACCTGCGCAAAAAAAATTCAGCGTTCCGAAAACAAGCCAAAGATGTGACGAGTTTTTAAAAACAATCTGCAAGCATGAATCTTAACATAAGCACAGTAAAAAATCGGGTCGCCTTCTCGAATCAGATTTTGCTTACAGTGAGAAACTGCAATTTTGTCTTCTTCGCTTGGAACATTAAAAATGGAGGAGACTCACATGAGAGGGACGAAGAAGCCTTGGAGCAAGAGGAACCTTGAATAGTTTCCCGAGGAAGGCGAAAGCCAAGAGGATGCACGGCCCTAGCCCCTTCATGTTCAAGTCTTGGAGAAGCTCTGTCGTTCGAGCCCTTGCGACGCAGCTAGTGGAGTGCCTTCACGGCGCATTAGCATCAACATATTACCCACAATGAGGAAAAACCAGGAATCCGGGTCCTACGTGACAGGGAAAATCAGTGCAAATCTTTTCTGCTCTCTCACCTCCCACATTACACGAGGGGAGGGGGAAAGACCTTTCGTTGAGTTTTCCTGAGGCGAAACTTCCCTACCGGGCATAATTCCTAAATTCAGAGACTTATGGCACAGTCGAGATTTCTTAAACGGTCGATTGAAAATTTCCTTATAATGGCTGCTAATGGCAGTCCGAACGGGAAATAAATGTAAGTCCTTGTAGTGAATAATGGATGACGCATAATGACTAATGGAGAATGGACAATGAAAGTAATACTCTCAAAAATTCTAAATTTCAGGAAGTGAAGAACATATGTGTAACTGTCGCAATTACAGAACATGGCACATTGGTCATGGCGTTGCCCATTTGCATGTGTTTCAAGTGTTTGCAAGCCGTGTTCCCACAAAAAAAGAGTTCCCCCTCGAAGATCGAAATTTTGCATGTAGCTCTCCTCTTTTCTTTTTCAATGAGTTTCATTTACCCGCAATGTAATTGCCATGGTCAGCATCAAAAAGTATTGTGGGTGTAGACGCATAAGCATGTGGAACTTGATTACAATACGTGACTTGACAAGTGAACCGAATTGATAAATTGAATGGGATGGGATGTGCGATATGAATTTCCCCCTTAATGATCATTCATCAAATTTTGAAATGTGAGTGAATGAGAATACGAGAAGAATGTGAATTGGATCAGCTGAATGTAGATGCTTCTTACGGGTGCCCTCCTTACGAGCTCCCACCTTCGAGCCGTTGAAACGGTGCAGGGAACGGTGCATCGCCGTTGGGATCAATTAGTCACGACATGTCTCACGGGAAGAGGAAAGTCATAGATCCCGTATTCGACTTTGCTCAGAGGGGGAATCAAAGTAATTCCTTTCCCCTCTCTTACCTCCTGCTTTCCCTGTAGGGAGAGAAAACAGTTTCGATTGAGTTTTCCTCACGCAGAATTTCCATGCAAAGCACAATTTGGAAATTGCACGGGCTCGATATCTAGAACGGGCAGCAATCAATAGACACTTTTCATTTTTAGAACGCAGACGAGTATCGTTTCAGCGTTTCTTCGACCAGGGGTTATGATTTGAGCTCTTTCCAAAATATTTTTTTTTGACAGTACTTTCAAGCGTATTCACTCTCGAGTAAGTATCGTCTCGAAGAATTGTATAGTGATTTAATTTCATCAATTACAATTGAGTAAAATTTGACGGTGATGGTCTATTCACTAGTGTTCATTGTTCGGTTCAGTCCAGGAACCCTTCCCCTCTTCGGAGATTTCAGCATTTTTAGCGCTAAAATGTATTTCGTGTATCTTTCATGTGTGACATAAATGTTTTCGGAGGCATGAGGTATAAAATACCCAGTGATGGACCGGGTTCCAGTGATGAGCCATATAATTTTTTAAATTGCAACAATTTAGCTTCCATGGCACGCATCCCCATGCTGTAACATTCAGGCATATACAGGGTTAGTAGAAAGTTTCTGCCCGTGTTCAGACCGTTATATTACGCAAACTATGCATCGTACTGTAAAGCTGTAATATTTTTGGTGCGAACACCCCTATGGGACCATGGGGAAGTGGAATATAGGGCCATCGGATATGGTCACCAGTATTTTCCAAATAAAATGGCCACATGATGCCGAAGAGCATGTTTGAGGTCTATTAAGGTAGCAGGTGCCTTTGGATGTTTCACAGCTTCGGTCAGCCGTCTGTCACTGGATATCATAAATTCAAGCAATCGTAGACATGAAGGGAGGTCACATTGAGAACATGTAGCAAATGTAGCTGTTGAGCAAATGCTGATGGTTATTTCCGATGACAATATGTTCCTCTTCCCCATGATCCAATTGGGGTGTTCACACGAAATACCACAGCTTTACGATGTATAGTTTGCATATTATAACTGTCTGAACACGGGAAGGAACTTTATACGAGTACTAACCCTATAAGTCACTTTAGAGGTCTTCATGCTGCACGGACTTATTTCCAGGCGTTTCCCTGTTCCGTGGCCCATCATTTTTATACATCCCTGTGAGCGCTTGATCTGATATCTTATTTTCATTCGACAATTGAGAGAGTCCGAAGATTGTGGTAGCCGCCGCTCCTAACGCGCGAAACCTACGATGCTACACCATTCTAGGGTATAGGCCAGGCCATCCACGGCCTAAAGCGCCAAACCTACAAGGTTCTGCCATTCTGGGCCATAGGCTAAGCCATCAAAACTTTTGTATACTTCTAATATACCTCAACGTTTAGTCACCTTGTAGATGACAATTACTACATGGTGTGTCAAGAATCCTGCCCACCTTTTGAAAATTAATTACTTCGCAATGCTAGATTTGATTGTGACGTAGTTCACACTATTCGAAAGAATAGACAATTCTCTATCAAATAAAATGTTTGACTATCGATAATCGTGTACTAATTGCTCGGCTTTACTCCGAATTTGGCCAGAACGAAACGGAAACCACTTGACAATCGAAGAAGAAATTGAACCGAGAGTCGCAAGTCGATGGTCCGGTGTTAGGTTTGAACCGAACTGCTTCATATCTTTATGCAAACATTTTCCCATTTCCGCCCATTAGACGGCCAGCGGCCGCGAGTTCTATTGAGTTTACTCTCCTGGTCCTTCACATTGGTCGACGACGAACCTGCACTTCGGGACGGGATCAAATTCATCATGTAGCTATCGACCGGTGGAAGTGAAGCGTATGCATCCCATGCGTGACAAAGCCGACACTCAAATCTGGTCTGAGCCAGAGGACTTTACTACTGCTTCCATACAATTCATTAAGATGAAGATGCAGGTAGCGTCGCCTTTCGTACGAGGCCGAGTCCCGACTAGTAACCCTTGCGCAATGTTATTACTAATACTGTAATGCCAGGGATAGAAACCCATTGCCGGAAGAGTCCTGTCTGCATACACATGAAGTTACATAAATGTTCAATGTCTTTGATTACGAAGGAAGCGAAATAAATGTGGAAATATGGATGATCTTTTGTTGATAAAAGACCAGCGAGGTTGGTTCTCAGCAATAACTTCTCACTTTATCCTATAATTGCCAGCAGGAACTTTATTTTGTCTATGGCGATACCCTGCAGGAATTGGCTATCTCGTAAGTTTCCCGGAGAAGCTTACGTGATGTAACGTTTCACATAAAGTCTTCACGAAATCCCAAGTGAGTTTCGTGAGTCTTCATGTGAGACCTCAGAAGACCTCGAGGGGTCGCGTAGAAATATAGCGAGAATCATGTTGCGTTTTTGTCCGAGATGTGCTCCAGCTACCTTCAAGAACTTACAGAAGTTTTCGCCGCATGAGTTCAGAATATCAATAAAACGAGGAACTGCCTTATCGTTGGCGATCGATTTTAAGGTAGTTAGGGGATTTTGTTCGAAATGAGGTTGCGATAAATTTGCCGAATCTCAATATCACGTGGATCATTGAAGGCAATCTCCAATAAGTTTTCTTTTTTCTAAAGCCAACGTTTTTGATCCAAATGAACTACATAGGTTTAAGATCTAGGAAATGAGAGCAGGGGGGGGGGAGGGGAAGGAAATGAAGAGAAAATAATGCGAACGTCACAAGACGTGCAAGTCTTCACCCTTCATCAAACCCGAATAATATTTTGGGCATCATAAATGATGAGTAATTTCTCGATCTTAACCAGCAGAATAAGACGCCGCGCAAGTGCTTCGGAGCAGCTGCAGTCAAAATACAATCGACGAAGTAAATTTTCCCGGCAAAGCCAACCGGCTTTCATGGGAAAAATAATGTCCATTAACGACGGTATCTGGAAAGGACTAGAAAGAAAACAAAAAAAAAAATTCTTTCAAAATCAAAGGCAAAAGGACAAAGACAAAAATAATGAGATAGTTTGTATGGAATGAGGAAAATATGCAGCCAAGCACTTGAAACATAAGATAGCCTCACTTTTACTTCTTACGAAACATCAATTTCACCGGGATACCTGGGCAAGAATCGTTTGCCAACTTCGTGCAGGTGTGTTTCTCACAAAATTGGCATTGCTTTGTCAAAATTATCAGACGCATGTGCTTCTTCTGCCGGAAAATGATGAAATTTATCACCGACGCTTCCAAGGCCCATCATTCTGAGTTCTCCATCTGCATGTCGGCCACCTTGGACAATGCAGGCACATCGATATTGTGAAGCACCACGTTTTCCTCCAACGAAACGCTGCAAGTATATTGGTCCCTTTCACCAGGTTATCCATTGTGGCCTCGTAAGCAAGAGTTTCGGCAGCTTGAGAGATGTAACCTGGATCAGGTACCAGGGAGTGGGTTTCATGAGAGAATGAGGTGAATTCACTGCTACTAGAAGGCTTTTCCATAATTATCTGTTGGTAAAATCATGTATAAGAGAGGAAGACTACATCGGGAAACGTGAAAACTTGGATTTGCATATGTCCTTTTGCATGGAATTATCTCTAATCTGGAAGTTCCCAAGAATGATGCTCCATGGGAACTTGGTACAGATGGAGTACCAAGCATTGTAACATTATACGAAAAATAGATTTCAATGTATTTCACATGGGCTCTATGGGAGTTTCCCTGTTACCACAGGATTAACTTAACTCCTACGCAGTATCCCCATGATGCGTCAGCAGCACCTGATCCTTGGTACGCCTCCAGAGAAGGCTCATACTTAGTTTATGCTGATAGGTAATCATCAGCTATCATCGTATAAAGCAGACTAGCAATGAATGCTCCTTTCAGAGGGGCATGGCTGATACATAAAATATATAGCGAGTTTCTTTTCCCTTCGGGCAAAACAATTCCCTATGAACGCGCCTTCGGTGCTCTACGATCTATGAAAATAGCTAATGTAGTTGAAGCATCCGTTTTCAATAGTCGCACCTACCAGTGTAGTTAAACTCCTTGGGTCATAACTATTTTTCATTGTCGCTATAAGTTACATCTGGTTGTGAGAAGTCATTGCCTCTCAACTGCTAACAATATTCAGTAAGTGGTTATTCTTCATTCCCTTCAAAAATGTCCCCTTGAAGTGTCTCCTTTATACAGGACCTTCTATACCTGTAGAGTTAATCGATTTCCTTGAGGGAAATTTAGCAAGATTCTCCAACCCGATAAAACGTCGAGAGTGGCTGGACCCCAATCTAACACTTTCTCTGAAATGAAATTTCCTAAAACCACCTTTAGTTGAATGAAATTTATTCACTTTGTCTGTTTAACCCCTGAGAAAAATCATTGGGCAAAAAGTAACCACAGAACTTCCTGTGTGCCATTTTTTCAGCGCTCAATATTAGCCCGTTTCGATGTGGCAAATTTTTTTATTAATTTGCGTCACTATCGAAGAATGTGGCCGAGAGGATTTACCGCAAAACTAAGATTTTTATCGAGAGCATTTTTGAAATAATGAGGGCTGTACCATGACATATGTGAAGAAGGATATATAGGAGTCGTTTGAGAGAAGACTGAATTGGATGAAGAGGAATGCGAGACATTAGGTGGTGAAGAATAGGAGAGTCGGTGCGAAGTGAGAGCTATCAGGAGAGTTAGGAGAGTTAGTGATATCAAGAGGCGATTTCGCCCATTTTTTATGGTAAAACCTATCTTGGTGTCGTCGGCAAATTTACTTATCTTCATATTTATTATTTATTATTATTATTATTTATTATTATATTATTTATTATTATTTATATCAGGGCAGTTTTAGTGCAATGTGTATGCAATCGGTGTAGTGTGAGTGGAAACGGTAAAGTGAGTAAATTCGATGCGTCAAAGTGCATACATATCTTCACTCCGAAGGAGATTTTTATACACAAAGTTTCTGAAAATTGATAGCCTCACTTGAAAAACAAAGCCTTGAACATCTCCAAGCACGGAAATCCGCACCGACGAGGAGCCACCCCAACTCAGGCTGTGACCCATGATTGCACCCAAGTGGCGAAGAAGGAGGCCCTCGTGAATCTATTTGGCACCCTTCCTTTGCATGTCGTCCCGCCAAAGGAATCCAGCCCGGTGAGAAATGCTTGACTGCCATAGCGCGTGACCAGGGGTGCTCCACTGTCTCCCTGCGGGCCATCATTGAATAGGAGAAACACGAATGAGAACGCTTTCGGTTTTGTGTTGGGAATAAAGATGCCCGAAAGGTCTGGATATTAGAATCAGGAGCAAAGACTTAAGGTTACGATTCACAGGCTGCTACTTCGTCAAAAATCCATCTAGACGGTGGGCGAGTAGAGGGAGAATTTTTGGTCACAAAAAAGGAGGCTAGGAGGAAAGAGACAGACAGACACACGAGCACGAGCTGTCTGCAGACAGGATCCGAATGGCGCCTTGTCCTCGTCGTTAGGGCCTTCATGCGCATGCGTCAAACACCTGCCCGCGACGCACACTATTCAAAGCGACTACCATGAATCCGAGTCTTTCTTCCAAGCCTCTCTTCCTCCATGAGGAAATTTATAAACCAGAACCGGGTACGTATTTGCTGTTTCTCCGCTTGCAGCAGTTGTCTTTGAGCTTTACGAAATTCCTAATCTAATATCATGAACATATTGTCCCAACTAGTTGAATGTGGAACTCATCCGGTTGGAAATGCAGATGTTAATGAGAAAAAAAGACTGCCGGACAACTTTTTTATTTTCATGCGCACGACTATTGCTGCGGTAGGTCCAGGGATATTCACTGGATTGGAATTCGGAAGACTGTGTGGTATGCAATCAAGCATTCAAGCATCTCACTCCGTGGAAAGACTATGCAGGCATCTGAAGCGCGGGAAGCAAGAAAAAGGAGTTAGACTTAGTATCAAGTTTCTCGATTGCAAATTAATCTGAAAGGATTGGGCCGGGTATTGCTTGAAATATTTTGATTAAATACGCTTTCCTAGGAATAGCAGTGAGCAATTACTGTCGCTCCAATTTTCGATTTCATGGGTATTTTAAAGGTTCATTTCACTTCATGAAGGGAGCATTGAAAATCTAAGACAGACGAAACACAGTGAAACATCTGAGTTATTTCACCTCCAAAGATCGTCTCCATCCATGAAGGCGAGTGGCCGTGAAACTCTGCGATAAATTCGCAAAACTTTCGGGTTCGAGGCCGTCAGGCGTAGTCTTGGGAGGAGTTGTAGGCCATGTCTTGCATGAAAATCTTATTTGAACGAAGTACTTTTTCTTTCATTTATGAAAAAGCGTACGAAACGATAAAACCATGCTGCAAGAGCGAGTTGGGGAAGGGGTGGTAAAGCCGCGCACCTGTGAAGGGTAACCTTAAATCCAACTTTATTCCGCGTTTCTTTTGCTGTGTGCTTTCTTAACGCCATATTCGATTAACTGTCCTGATATTAAACTAAAAATTGGACAGTTCCACAACATGTAATTTGATAATATTAAACTATATCTTACGCTATCCGATTTAAGTGTAAGTTTAACATTGCAATTTAATTGTAAGTTTAACATGTATTGCTAAATAAGCTATATCAATTTACTGTATATACTAATGATAGCCAGGATCATCGCCATTTTATTAATACGAGATTTTGAAAAGCCGCCCACCCCACACCCACCCCTTTGCACTCGTCGCTTCCAGATTTCTTTACGCAGCGGGAATGGGTAAGCTGAAGAATGAGACATACGCGGCAGGCGTCGCTGCCAGGGCTGATTCCCCGGGCACAGATGACTCTCTCGTTCGTGAAGCTGTTACAATTTGGCGAATCCGCGACCAAATTGAAGCCCAGCTTTTGCAAGATGCTGGGGTATTGCATGGCGACCGAGTCGGTGGCCCCCCAGCCGTAGGCCGTATGACTACATGCGGAGTTGCCTTTGAACGCCGTCATGGAGTCGCTCGTAGGGTAGCAAATCGACTGAATGGTCGGACCGAAAGTCAGCCTCGTAGTCAACTGGACGAGGGCTATGTCATAGCCAGTGGCTGTGAAGGTACCTGAGAAGGGAACGGAGAATGAAATCTCATGAGAAATTGCTCGCTGTTAATGTCCGTCCGGAGCAGAATCTCACGATCCAGCGATAATGCACGAAGTTACGTGTGAAGACCGTTCTTTATAGTAAGGTTCCCGGATAGAAATCTCATTGTAATGCAGTTCTTCCGATTTTGGAACGAAAAATAAGGGCCTCAGGTGGCCCATGCCCTTGGATAAACCAATTTGTTGAAGCTTTCATTCTCATTCTTAGAGGACTTACGTTGCCTGCTGATTACAGAAAAAAGTTAAATCCCTAGTAATTAGAAGAATAACTTGTTTCGAACGTGTACGTCTATAGCTCACTCACATTTCGAACGTCAAAGAATGTTTCAGCATGAGGCGAAAAGAAAAAACACATAACCTGAAAACCGGCCAACCGCGAACTCTTCACGAGAAGGACGTCGCCACATGTTCCTATCCACTTACATGAGGAAGGAGATCTCAACTGGGTCATGGTCTCACCTCGGTCGAACAATTCATGGGCGAAGAAGTTCTGGGCGGGGAAGACTAAACCGGCAGTTTTATCGACACTCCCCACTCGCACTCTCACTGACGTTGCTTTCACTCTGCAAAGGAGAACGACCGCCGGGATGTAACCTTTCAACCGAAACCATGAAGCGTTTCGCATTTTGAAAGCTGTCAGGCATTTCTCTCGGGACTATTCTGGAAGAATGCATGTTTTACGAGGCATCGGGTCACGATAGGATTCGGTGCTGATGGTAATAACCTGATGGTGGCGAGGAAATCTTGGACTGTGAAAAGTCCAGGATGAACATGTCTTGAAATCCCGCAAAAGTCAGAAACGACGATATTCTTACCATCGATTTCATGGTGGGAATTTTCCATGAAATTACATTTAAAATATTTAATCTGCAAAAAATTATCCTCACTCTTGCAAATATCGGCAGAAAGCACGGAAAATGGAAGGTAGGAGCTGAAATAACGCGTGATTGTGTTCCATGAAACCATCATAAAACACGTCTAGTTTACTTACCCTCTCGCATGTAGAACTGGGAGAACATGTCTGGCACTCTTGAACTAGTGGCAAGAAAACCTGCAACAAACCGGAAGAAACGAAATGCTCTGTCGTGGAAGGAATCACCATGATCTTCAGCGAATTCCACTCCAGTAGTACCAGAACGTGTTGAATTAACGTTTCATTCAAATTATTGCCAGAGTTCCATTAACGTCCTTGGGAACGTTCCCAAGGCTTTTGTTTTGGCTGCTTAAATGTCCAAAATTCCAAGCAATTAAAAACCTTTCAAATAATGCATTCCCTGAACTACATGAATTTGATATTTCCAGGGAAAGGGTTCAATAAAGCTTTCTTTTGTAGGAACCATGCAATATGTAATTAACATTTTGGATACATTCTTTTCATCACTTAAACTTCATTTAGTCTAAGTAGAGCCCTGCTCATGTAGCTGAGGGTAGCCATAGGGTGAGCCATAATGTAGCCGATTAGTAGTACTGATGGTACTATCGTACATTATCTGGGACAGTCTGGTGGAGAAGCATAGGGCAATTCAGTCTTACTACATACATGTTCATCATATCGGCAACCATCTTAGATTCAGGAGCACAGGCATATCCGCCACCTGAAACCCTTTTCAAGAGAAAGATGACGATAGATATGAATATTATGAAGTGACCTTTAGAGATGAACCATCCTCTTTCTATCATTCGAACCTGAGTTCCACTGGAGACTCCTTGGACTAGGTTACCTCTAAAGAAGGATTTGTTCAAGAATTCTAGTATCATCCGCTCTGATTTATGTGGAGAAAGATCGGATACATTGTGGGGACTGATTCCAGCTGTATCAGGAATTGACCCACTATAGCGACTACTTTAGCGCCATCTAGCGTCGGTTCCGCGGACCTTTGCTTTAGGTCGGTGTCAGATGGATGCCAATAATTTGCTTCAGGAAAACATCTCAAACGTTTGACGAATATCCTTCAAATGCGGCATGTTTCGCAGTTAAAAGGCACCTTAACTGAGCGCCAAATAGGCGCTAATTCTGATACATTGGATGTGCAATGGCCTCTTTGAAAAACCTGTTAAACGTCCTCGAAAGCGCTTATGTGCTATTTCGGCACGTATAAAACCTGTTTGGGCACGTATCGTACGTTTGAAGCCTGCAGGTCTCATTTGACCCGTGATTATCCTCGTCACCCGATCAGTGAATGTAGCGAAGGAGGCGAAGAAAAAGATTTCACCCCTATTTCATCATTCACGTTTAAAATCCCTGGCTTCCCGGGAACAGGCGGGAGGCACTACAGTGAGCGATGCCACCGTTCCCTTGCGATTATAAAAGCAACACTTGTCTCCTCTTTCTTCCGAGAGATGGCGACTCGTCTGGCACTTGTCTGGCACTCTTGAACTAGTAAACCTGCAACAAACCGGAAGAAACGAAATGCTCTGTCGTGGAAGGAATCCCCATGATCTTTAACGAATTCCACTCCAGTAGAACCCGAACGTGTTCAATGAACGTTTCATTCAAATTATTGCCAGTGTTCCATTAACGTCCTTGGGAACGTTCTATTGACTGCTTATGTGTCCAAAATTCGAAGCAATTAAAAACTTTTCAAATTATGCATTCCCTGAACTACGTGAATTTGATATTTCCAGGGAAATGGTTCGATAAAACATTCTTTTTTAGGAATCATCCGATATGCAATTAACGTTTTGTATACGTTCTTTTCATCACTTTAACATCATTCAGTCTTAGTAGAGCCCTGCTCATGTGGCTGAGGTTAGAAGCCATAATGTAGCCGATTAGTAGTACTGACGGTACTATCGTACATTATCTGCGACAGTCTGATGGAGAAGCATAGTCAGTCTTACTATCAATACATATATTTACATCATATTTGCAACTATCTTAGATTCAGGAAACAGGCATACCATCCACCTGCAATCCCTTCTCATGAGAGAGATGAAATTAAATGTTAAAGTTGGTTTCCATGAATTGACCATGAAAATCGAACCATCTTCCCTCTATCGTTCGAACCTGAGTTCTCTGGAGACTCCTTGGAATAGGTTACCTCTAATGACGGATTTGTTCAAGAATTCAAGTATGTTCCGCTCTGGTTCATGTGGAGAAAGATCGGCTCCATTGTGGAAAGTATTGGGGACTGATTCCAGCTGTATCAGAAATTGACCCGCTACAGCGACTACTTTGGCGCCATCTAGCGTCGGTTCTGCGAACCTGTGCTTTCAGCCGGTGTCAGATGGATACCATTGATATGCTTCAGGAAAACATTTTAAGCGTTCAACGAATGTCCTTCAAATGCAGCATGTTTCGTGATTAAGAGGCACCTTAATTGAGCGCGAAATAGGTGCTAATTCTGGTACATTGGATGTCCAATGACCTCTTTGAAAACCTGTTGAACGCCCTCGAAAGCGTTTATGTGCTATTTGGGCATTGTCATATGTATAAAGCCTTCAGGTCTCATTTGACCCGTGATCATCCTCGACACCCGATCAGTAAATGAAGCGAAGGAGGCAAATGCGAATGGAGGCGAAGAAAAAGCGCCCCGATTCCATCATGCACGCTCGATATCCCTGGATTCCCGGGAACAGGCTCACTACAGTGAGCGATGCTACCGTTCCCTTGCGATTATAAAAGCAACTCTCGTTTCTTCTTTCTTCCAAGAGATGGCGAGACGAGAGCGAATCTCCAATTTTCGGTGAACGTTGCCTACCCTCCCTTTCGTGTGGCCGATGTGCAAATTTCATTTCTCAAAGGCACATCCTCGGATGATAAGGAAGAGTTCTGTCGAAACCCAAAGTTCATGTCTCTAAGCGTTTGACCTGTAGAACTGTCACACACGGACACACACACAAACACCAAACACACAATTGTCGCTCGGCCCAGCGATATGTTTAACCTCTGGAGGTCCTCCGGTTTGAAATTTTTATGATCGGATTACAACCATTTCAAGTACTATAGTGAAACCCATAGAGAAACATGTTCATGGAACCGAGCAAACACGAGCCGAAACTAACAAGTCTGAGGACTTGGACGAGATAAATAATCAACATTGATATCCGGGACTTTCAAACTATGACTCCAACGAGTGACTAATGCGCGAAAATAGTTGAAAATGTTCAAGTTAGAAAAATACATAAACTCGTAATAAAACTCATCACAGATATTTCAAAAGCTGCAGTACTCGACAGATGTCTCCCACCCCCCAGAAAGTTCCAGAACATTCTGGAACTTCGACGAGACAACTTAATTGGCAGCACTAGTCGAGTGCTGATCCGAGTCAATGTGCATTCCGAGTGAATTAGCTTCGATTATCACTCGTGAAATATGGCTTTATCCATCCATCAGCGTTATGAGGCCATCTCCCGCTCTTGCCATTCATTGGGTTCAAACTCGGATTGAAGGCTGTGACGAAAGCGGTCGAGTGTGGCAAGAGGATCCCCAAATATCGGCTAGATGAAAGAAGGAATCCAAAAATGTGACCTATTTCACTCGTTTCGGTCTTTCGCGTACAACGAGGACAAAATGGGATGAACGGATTCTTTCGCTCGCCAATCAAGAAATGTTCGCCAGAAGAATTCTATAAGGTAGGAAAACTTGCGCTTCTGAAGGCATTCCAAGACAGGGGGATTTTAACTCATTATGATCAGGGTATCCAATGAAATCCACTTGAATGTGGTAAAACCATCATCAGTTGATCAGATCGTCTGGTAGAGTTATGGGAGGGGGTGGGAGACTTTTTCACGAGTACTGCACTGAGTAATTCTCATGGATCGTGATATATTTGGCTTGGAAAGTGAGCTTGAAATCATTTTTAAATGGTTGCTAGAGCGCCGGAAACAGCTTTGAAGGCGCAGAACTATCTCAAGGTCCTTCCCCGAACCGTACTTTTTCAAAGTTCACACAGATAGCTCTTGAAGGTAATGTAACAAGACAATGAGGTTGGTTTTTGGAGTGGTTACTTAACATTCATATTACCGAGTTATCGTACCTTCAAAAGAGCGCCTGTGTGACTTCGTCCTTCCTATGCGCCGCAGCGAAGGGCCCTTCACGAAGACACGCAGACAACACTTGAAAGTTAAGATAAAAAGTAAGATGACGGTGAAGGTACAAAAACTTCTCTCGTTGCCTTGTTAAATTACCTTCCGAGGCTGCCTGTGTGTCTTCAGTGCCTATGAAATGGAGCGAATCAGAGAGTGCGACCCAAAATGATCTCGGCTGACTTGTTACTGTTGTAGATGCAATGCCCGGCAGTGACGATCCACATATCGCTGATGATGGAGCCTGCACAGCCGTCACCAGTGCCATCCGGGTAGCTCGCTTCGATGTAGGCAATGAAAGGCGCTTCGCTTATGGCGGCCGGGGATCCACCCACGAGCAACGAATCCGGTCTCACCATCAATCCCATGGTTGGTCCCACGAACCTCGTCCATGGACGGGTCAACCAGGCGAATTCTGTCGATCCCGTCGACGTCGACTGTCCGCAGAGCTCGGTCGTCACTGGATGGAGCAATCACGGAGTCACGTCGACTCGGCTCGATTCAACGACTCTGCTCTGCCGTCATTGTCTTTTCGCATTACAAATCTTAAAATCGATCGAGCGTCCCTAAAGTAGGTGACTTTTGTTTTCGCTGATTTGAAAAATGCCTGATACCGTGCTTATTCATGCTTTCTTGAGTTATGAAGCTCCACATTTTCCCTAATCGGTAGGTTTACTAATGCAACTCCTAAGGGAAAAAAATCAGACCAGTTCATCTACTCAAAAGAATCCAGCGTTTCGAAATCAGGCCAAAGATGTGACAGGTTTTTAAAAAAAATCTGCAAGCATAAACCTCGACATCAGCTAAGTAAAAAATCGGATCTCCATCTTGAATCAGATTTTGATTACAATGAGTAACTGCAATTTTGTATTCTTCGCTTGGAACGTTCAATACGGAGGAGACTCACATGAGAGGGACGAAGGAGCCTTGGAGCAAAAGAAATCTTGAAGAGTTTCCCGAGGAAGGAGGAGGAAGGCGAAAGCCAAGAGGATGCACGGCACCAACTCCTTCATGTTCGAGTCTTGATGCTCTGGCGTTCGAGCCCTTGCGACGCAGCGAGTGGAGGGCATTCGGGACGAATCAGACGCGGCGTGTTGCGCTCAAAGAGGAAAGACAATGAATCCGGGTTCTACGAGACACAAGGAAGGAGTCAATTCAAATCTTTTCCGCTCTCTCACCTCCCGCATTGCACGTGAGGGAAGGGAAGACCTTTTGCAAAACTTCCACACTGCGCACAATTGCGAATTTCAGAGACTTACGGCTCAGTCGAGATTGGAAAAACGGACTGCACAGTCACGGAAGGTGATGTAACAGGACGTTCAGGGCGCTTTTGGAAAGTAAAATGCAATTGCCATGGTCAGCGTCAAAGAGTATTGTGGATGCGAACGCATCAGCACGTGGAACTTGAAAACGGAACGTGAACTTCCCTAGCGAACCGAATCGATAAATTAAATGGAATCGGGAAGAGGATTATGAATTCCCCCTTCATGATCATGCATCAAATTTGATATCGTTCCAGGGCATCCCCACACTCGAAATGCGAGTGCACGAGAAGACGAGAAGGATGCGAACGGGATCAGCTGAATGCAGATGCTGCTCACGAGTGCCCTCCTCACGATCTCCAGCCTTCTCGCCCTCGAAACGATGCAGCGGGAGCATTGGGATGCATTAGCCATGCCATGTCTCACGCCGAGCATCGGGATGCATCAGCCATGCCATGTCTCACGCCGGGAGGAAAACCTAAAACCCCGTGTTCAACTTCGCGCCAATAATTTCTTTCCGCTCTCTCACCTCTTATATTATTCGTGGGGTGAGGGAACAGCTTCCATTGAGTTTTCCTCTCGTAGAATTTCCATGCAAAGCACAATTCCAAAATGCAGAGCCCTATTGCACGGGCGAGGTACCCGAAACGTGCAGCAATCGATTGCCGATTTTCATTTAAAGAACTCAGACGAGTATCGTTTCGTTGTTTCTTCGACCTGGAGCTATGATTTCAGCGCTTTCCTAATTATTTTGTGACAGTGTTTTCCAATGCATTTACTTGCGACTACCCAAGTAACAATTTTGAACCGCAATAAATCCATTGTCTTCAAGGACACTTGGACATCCATTGTATACTCTCCTCGGACATCCACCGGATAACTAAATGTCTCATCCAAAGATAATCCTTGGACATGTCCTTTGGATGGACTATTGGATGTCCGTCTCTTTGGTTCCATTGGAGATTCCCTATCGGAGAGAGAAGTCTTGGGGAGCAATGGAGCAAAATTTGCATGCTCATGAATATTCATATCATAGGAAAGGAGCACTTTTCTTTGGCGATTGTCATTCTTGCCCTCTCACGTTTCTAGGACGAATTGGGAGAGAAGAGTTAGAAGGGAAAGGAAGTATTACTGAGACGAAGCTCTCGACTTTCCATCCCGATCTCTAAAGTAGAAGATTGGGATGGATACCACCACACTCTCTCCATGGAATGTGCAAGATGTAGAATTGCCAAGAATGTGCAAGAATTGCCAGGAGTCTCCCCGAGCCACGTTACTTCTCTCAACAAATGTATTAATTAGAATGACTTCCTTCCTTCGGCTTGCACGTGGAAAGCGATCGAGTAGAGGATGAAAGCTTCCGCCGAACGATTCGTCAGCAGTTCGGGAATCGTGAGACGCGCAGCGGCGGGACGAGCGCGACCCCATTGGCGACCCCATTGGCAACCCCATTGGCAACTATCATGGGAACTTCATGTTTCTTAGACGAACTGCTAGATGTCAGGCCAGACCTCGACGGGGCGGGGATTTCCACCTAAGGGCGTCCAATGGAAGACCGTAAGAGCTCGTCTTCGGAAGTTCCTTTTCTGAACGTCCTTTGGACGTCCGAAGACTGACTGACACATGATATTGCGAACGTTTCCTTCGTAATATCCAACTCTAAATGAAATGATGCACTGGTCCGACTCGAATGTCACACGATCTATATCGTGATTCAGGTTACTTGGTTTCGACCCAAGATGAGAGATTTCAGGAGAAAAAATAAAAATAAATAAATAAATCCCGTGCTCGTACCGCCACTCCATAAAACCGTCATCCAAAAAAATGCAAATAATTGAGCGTCCGATGCATGGAAATTCCGCTCTGATAAAACGGAGTCTGCCCGAGAAGATCCGGATCCACGGCGACGACATCCCACGTGCATCCAAAGGACGACCGGACCGGGCGCGGACGAGTTTTGGATCACCCGTGGGTAAGTAAACGCTATCGTTTCCAAGAAATTCGTTGCGATTTCGTTCCATCGATTGCAATTGAGTCGATTCGACGGAGATGGCCTGTTCCCTATCGTCCAGTGTTCGGTTCAGTCCGGGAAACCTTCCCCTCGTCGGAGATTTCAGCGTTTTTAGCGTTAAAATGTATTTCGTGTTTCTTCCATGTGAGACATGAATGCTTTCGGAGGAATTGGCGTTAAAATACCCAGTGATGGACCGAGTTCCAACGAACGACAGGATGAATCATCCGGGAGCGGAAATCATCCACTTTCCTTCCCGACCCCTTAATGAAGACTTTGTTTTCCCCATCGCCGCGGCGACGCAATACTCCCGAAAATAGGAATTTCGACATACTCGAAAAGGGGGAATCTTGCTTTCGCCGTGTAATGTGCAAGAATCGCATGGCGTCTCCTTCAACTAGGTTACGTCTCTCGACAAACTAATTATTTACAACTACTGTATATATATATATATTCATTAAAAGAAAATGTATGCTTCTTTTTTCTCGGATGTTTGAGGATATGCGTCTCCCACGCCAGCAGATACGATTAAAATGCAGCTAGGAATATGGTGCCAATGCACTTTCAAAGTTGCAAATTTGCAAAGTTGAAAAAAAAAAGAATTAATAAAACATTCCATTCCAATGCGAATGAAGTTTGATCGGAAAGGACCTGAACAACCCGAAGGTTGGGAAAGTGTCTGCCCTGTGGATCCTGCATTTTCTCACGCGTTCCTTTTAATATCAAATATTAAAATGAGTGAAATTCAGAATTCAAATAAAGCATATCTCTTGCAGTTTATTCTACTCCTTCCGTGCAGATTCGTATGGTGAAAAGGAGCGATTTCGCCGAATGGAAAAATATTCAGCGCCACAGATGCCGCATTCTTTAATCGCATCAATCTAACGAAATTTGCATATGAATGGGGGCGGGAGCGCCTATTACCTTTCTTGAACCCCCACCCGTAGCAAAATTGAGCCTCTTCGAATTTCTCTCTGAGAGTTTCAACAGAAACGAAATTAAGCATATTTCTTCTATCAACAAAGAACTCCAGCGAATTTTAAGTGCCTTCTCCCCGGGGTTGGAGAGAACTCTGAATCTCGCCTTTTGATGTGAATTTCATTTTTTTGTCCTCGTCCCCCTGGGTAGCCACTCCTGTTTTTTTTTTTATGAGGATAAGTGACCAACAAGAATTATTCTCATAGTCTCCAGTGCACGTGGTTTTTAACAGCGTGCAGATTCAAACCTCTCGAAAATTCCACAATTTGACATGGAATGACTTGGTAGTTTTTTTTCACCGAAAGCAAGTTAAAAAATTCTTGTTTGTCAATCTCTTCCTGGAGCATTCTTGGATTTGTTGCACGAGGAGAAATAAACTTGAAAATATGAATTTATTCTGTCTTCCGTCAACTTCTATTCAATATTTCCAAAAAACATAGATCCCTTCGGAAAACGCTGAATTTGCCAGTTATTTTTAGGGAAGTATCATATCCCTTAGAAAACACCTAGTAAATTAGAATATTTATTCTTTTTTTGAGGTCAAAACTGTATATTCATTGCCATCATTTCCCCGGAAGAGGTTTGCACAATCCACTTTCTCTTTTCGAAGACGATTCGGGAGTAGCGGAAATTCCTCAAGGCTTCTTTGGCAGTCTTCCCTTTCTGCACATAACAATGAATGTGGGACGGCCGTGAAGAAAGGTGGAGTCGTCGGGCGTACCAGATGTGAAGCGGCTGATGCTTCATCGCTTCAGCGGCTGATGGTTCATCGCTTCAGCGGCTGATGCTTCATCGCTTCAGCGGCTGATGCTTCATCGCTTCAGCGGCTGATGCTTCATCGCTTCAGCGGCTGATGCTTCATCGCTTCAGCGGCTGATGCTTCATCGCTTCAGCGGCTGATGCTTCATCGCTTCAGCGGCTGATGCTTCATCTCCAAATTCTTACGGTCGTTTGGAAGAATTTCCATTTTATGTTCTCCATCAGTTCAAAAACTTGGAAGGATTGTATCTCAACGCCAATTTCTGAACATCTGTCCAGGCGTTCGAGAGGAAAAGCCTAGCGATTCTCGGTCTACAAGCCAATAAGATCACGAGTGTAAATTTCGAGGAATGGGCGACGCCCAAATCGAAAGAACTCCATCACCACAAAAATGACTTGACATTTGTCCCTGCCTTAAATTGCGACAGTCTGGAAACGATGAAACTCCAAGACAATATCACGAACGCGGAGTTGGACAAATGGGGAACTCCAAAATTGAATGTACCAGATCTCTTCAAGAATTTCTTGGCATCTATTGCAGACTTGAAGAGCCTTGAAATTCTACGTCTTGATAGCAATAGAGTCGCAATTACGGAGCACGACGCATGGGAAACTCCCAAACTGAGGAAACTCCATCTTGGCAACAACTTATTCACCTCTATCCCTGACTTGAAGAGCGACAGCCTAGAAATACTCCATCTCGGTCACAATACACTCTTGAAAAATTCCGAGCGTTTGGGGAGTAAAAAGTGAGCACGCGTGAGCTTTTCCAATTTACTCTCTTATTACTCACCAAATGCTCCCTCACCGCTCGTATTGAAGTGAACACCTCGAAGTTCTTCGCCATGCCACTAGATGGAGGTAAGGGTCTCGTTTTTCGCACAGTACACAAAGTTCCCTTCCCTCTTTCCCTGGAATCATCCCTCGCAGGATTGTTTAGTACCTTGACATATGTCTCCCCTAGTCTCATTATAGGAATCAATAAACACGGACACTTCATAATTTGTTATCCACATATTCAAGACATATTCATAGAGTCCAGGCCATAAACAAGCTCACA